GTAGAAGACTTTTATGCAACTTAGGCAGCTAATATTGCTAAGCTAGGAAACTCTCTTAATAATAACTTTATTATAAATAAAGAGACTAGCTAACTTAAAGAGACTAACTACTTAGCGCCTTCTTAATTAAGAGAATTAAGTTCTAGTATTTCTTATAACATACTAAATACATTAGTAACTCTTAATTTATCTACTATTATAGTTGCGCAGCCTAGTCTGTAATCCCTAAAGCAAGTAGAGAGTACAAAGCATAGTAATAGCAATACTACGCTTAGTACTGCTATTAATGCTGTAGATACATCTTTATGTTATTATAAAGTATTAACATTTAAACAGCAATATAATACTAACTAAGCTGCCTTAAATAATATACTTAGCACATTACTGCTAATTGCCTACTAAGACAACTAGCAGACTTAGCCTACGCAAAACGTTAGTTATAATGCTAATAGTAATGCTAAATATAATTCTAATAATATTAATCTAGCTCTTTATTAGTTTGCGCTAGTAATTATTATAGAAGATAGCAATAAGTATTTTTATTTTTTACGTTATAACACATTACAATACATGACAACATTATAATACATTATAATACATTATAATATATTACAATATTACAATACATTATAATACACTATATATTATCTTTACTTTATAGTAATTAGGAGGTAATTAGAGATACTAAGAACCTAGGTTTATAATTTTCTTTATCTAAAATGCATTTAGAACTTTATAGAACATTAAGGAACTAGGGCTTGCTGCTTAGAATAGGCTTATATAGTAGTTATAACTTTACTATTAATTGCTCTTGCTTACTAGTAATATTAAAACTCTTTGCTATAAATTACTTCTTATCTATAGTGCTACTTTACAATAAAGTTATCTAGCGTACGTAGTCCTAGTATATTAGCGTTAAGCCTGCAGCATAGCATCTGCTACTTATTCTATACAAGCTTTTTCTAGCAGCTCTTTACAAGAGGCAGGTTCTATATTATATAATTCTACTTAGTTGCTCTATTTTAGTAAAATAGAATTAATATTAAATAGCAGTATTAATTGCGCTTATAGTAACTATAGGCACTACTTATTAGTTTCTATCTGCTTAAATAAAATAATTTCTTTCTTTGCTATAGTATATCTACTGCTGCTATATTATTACTCTCTTATAGTTACTATTAGGACTTTAAGCATTATTGCTAATAAATATAGAGTTATAAATGTTAAATAATATTGCTAACGTTATTATAAAATGCTGCTAATAAGAGTCTTTCTAGTTAATTAGTATTCTTAAAAGCTTAGAACGCTGCTAAGATAAAATCTCTGCTAACACTAGTGTTAATTAGTAGTTAGTTAGAGTGTTTACAGCCATAAGTCTGCTACTAACAATAGTTATAGTAAATTTATTATAATATTATTCTTACACAATATTTTAGTCACTATTTAAGTCACTAAACCTTATGCTTATAGTTATCTAACTATACTTATATTAATAACATCTATACAGAGCGAAAACTCTTAATGCACACTATTATAGATGTACCGTGACTGTGATTCGGTCCTATTACAATTGTACACATCGATAGTCTCACCCCACTAGTCCTCAGAAACAGGGGCCGCGCGCGAAGGTACTTACCTAGGTACTTAGGTAGGTACTTAACTTAAGCACTTAAAGAACTGAGGAACTTGGGTAGGAAAGTAAGTACCTGGGCACCTGCCAAGCTGCTCCATAGCCGAGTGCGTAGACCCGCCAAGCGACCCTGTCCTGTACCTTGTCATTCATCGATGCTCCATGAACGTAGGCATGAACTTCGTACCTGGGCACTTGGACAATTTGTACGGAGTAATAAGCAACACTCACTCCGCAAGTAAGTTACCTACTTAAGTACTTAAGTAGGGATCTAGGCAGGGAGATTTTTCGTCCACAGAATCGACCTGCTGGACAATCATGCAGCCACGTCCCTACGATACCTCAAGATCATGCATGAAAGGACCTAGACAAGCCACCGCGTTCCGGCATTGGCCGTAGCGTCAACATTTGCAGCCTGGCCTGATGGATTGCTTCCTGGCAGGCGCAGTCCTGTCTGTCACTTGCTGTCGCCAGCATCCACGGAAGGCGACACTCCCATAAGACTTCGGCACCGCCTGCCTGTCGCCCCAGTGCTGCTCGGTCCCGCTTGTTCAGGTGTCCAACTGTCAACTCGTTCACTGACGACGGAGCAAGTACGTAGCCTCGGGTTGTTGTTGGTCCCGCCCCTGCCAGCAGCACTTGAGTTGACATCTGGGAGTCTGGGACCCAACCCCCCTGCCCACTCCAGCATACCCCAGCAAACGCTGCCTGGCCCGAAAAAAATTATTTCCTTCAGATATGCGACTCCTGACACCTTCTCCCCTTTTCTTCCTCTCCATCACAAAACATCAGCCAAACTTGTGACTCCGCGCAACGCTTGCCGTCTGTCTATTTCAACCCCCATCTAGGGCACCAAGCTACCCTGATCAATCTCCCTCCTCATTGCAACAGAGTTCAACCCACGAGCTTTTCTATCAACCCACCGCGCTCTTTCGGACGTCGCTTTCGCACAAGCCCAACGTTCGAACGTCATCATTCCCAAGACTCACACAGTGAATCATCCTCCATCCAACCATCAATATGTCTACTACCAACGTGGAGAAGGCTACCGATGCCGCTGTCAATGACGTTGCAAACACTCTGAGCAATACCTCAATCAGCCAGCCTGGCGACGACAAGGCCGCCGCCAATGAGGCCGCCTCGGCCAGCGCTGCAGAAGGCCGCCGTCTCTACATCGGCAACCTGGCCTACGCGACAACTGAGGGGGAGTTGAAGGACTTCTTCAAGAGCTATCTTGTGTAAGTACTTTCCTGGCCAAACTTTGGCCAAACTCGTCAGGAGAATCATGTCCCTGCCTACTTGCCTGATGATTGGTGATGCGGCCACCCGCTACTTTGATGTGGCTCCGATAGCTCCCTGTTTCCATGGAGGGTCATTGAAGGGACGATGCCGGCTCACTTGCACATTCTGTCCTGCTGGCGAAGTTGGTCACTTTTCTTCGTGAAACAAAACTATGTGTGATGACAGGCCTATTCATGTGCTTCGTATTCAGTGCAGTGTGCCTCGACCGGTATACATCATCTTCGTGCTAACAGTGCTCACAGTGAGTCCGTCTCGATCCCAAAAAACCCTCGCACTGAACGCCCAGTGGGATACGCCTTTGTTGACCTCTCCACACCCTCTGAGGCTGAGCGTGCTATTGCTGAGCTCTCTGGCAAAGAGATCCTTGAGCGTAAGGTCTCTGTCCAGCTTGCCCGCAAGCCCGAGCCTGCTGGTGATAAGCCTGAGGGGGCCAACGGTGAAGGTTCAGGTGCCGAGGGATCCCGCCGTCGGGCCTCCGGTCGAGGTCGCGGACGTGGTCGTGGCCGCGGAGGACGTGCTGCTCGCGGTGGTCGTGCTGGTGTAAGTCTCATGACGTATCAAGAATACATCCACAGACAAAGAATTAACCCGACGTTGCGACAGGACGCCGCCGAAGACAAGAAGGAGGGTGAAAATGCCGTTGCCGCCACTGACGCTGCGGCTGCCCCTGCCGAGACCGAGGGCACCACTGAGGTTCAACCATTGACGGACATTACAAACCACCACCAGAACAAGACTGACTCGGAAACGAAGAAGAATCAGGCTCGACCCCAGCGGGAGCGTCGTGAGCGCGGCCCCCCTGCCGATGGCATCCCTTCCAAGACCAAGGTCATGGTTGCCAACCTCCCCTACGACTTGACGGAGGAGAAGGTGAGATTGGACCCGGGAATCCGTGGCGTGGATTGAAAGACGTGCTGACAGGTGAAACGTAGCTCATCGAGCTTTTCAAGGCATACGAGCCCTCGTCTGTCAAGATTGCCCTCCGACCCATCCCCCGATTCATGATCAAGAAGCTTCAGGCTCGTGGCGAGGCTCGTAAGGGTCGTGGATTTGGATTCGTCACCCTTGCCTCTGAGGAACTTCAGCAGAAGGCTGTTGCTGAGATGAATGGCAAGGAAATTGAGGGCCGCGAAATTGCTGTCAAGGTTGCCATTGACAGCCCCGACAAGACCGATGAGGAGGCCAACGCTCCTCAGGAGGAGAACAAGGAGGCCACTGAGGCCGCGGCCGCCACCACTGCTTCCTAAGTGTGCTTGGCCTGTCTCCTTGCTTTGGTGAGCAGAGGTTGCGGTAGATGACTGGGAACGTCCCCTAGCCTGGATGAGAATAATTACGACGATTTTTCAAGTATATCCCTTATGGTAGATGCTCGTTCAGCTTTTTAGCAACAAGCGGGTGTGGGCACTGCTCTACTTGTTTTACCCGAGAGACATTTCATCACACAAGCTATGTCTATGTGGGTGGAGTCCGGTGGTTATTTGGGATGGCAGTGGTTTAATTTGTCTTGCCTGCTATGAAAATTTAATATCCTAACTCCATTGTGGAAACATACCAAGTAATGCATCATGGCTGATGTAGGAGGACGAGAATGTAGCATTGTGCGTGGGCGCGAATGGTATTCACATTGGACGTAGTATTGCCATGTGACGGTAAATTTGCCAAGTTCTCGGCTAGTTGGCATAAGAAAGATGGTTGCGTGCGCCAAGAGCGGCAACGAAAAGGAGATGCGGCCCGACTGCTAAAATATTTTGTTCGTCGACTATGTCGCCCCGCCGCCATTAGTCGTGACTCGTGGGGGGTGGGAATGCTCAAAGTTGGCTGATGAGCCGGGATTAGACGTCTGGAGCCACTTAGGCAGCATTGGGAAAGGAGAAGGGGGAGGAGAGGACTGGGCGTCTGCCACGGCTCTTCAACAAGCAGCCACCGCGGCCAAAAAAAAAAGGCGTCACCTCCGTTCTCCGTTCCTGAATCCCCCGAACCACCGGAAACACTGGACACCACGAACAGAACGCATTTGCATCCGACACTCGCGGCCTGTACCTCGCCCGCTCCCGCGCCTCGACACATCATGGCGTCAAAGGCCATGTGGGAAGTCGACCCTGAGACGAGGTCCAAGGTTCGCCCATCAATTCCCACGTACCAGCCAGATGGGCTGGCAGACCAAAGCCGCCCCTCATAGACACGTCTACAGAGAACGGTGCGCACTAACAACGAAGCCTATAGCTCGCCACCCTCCAGAAAGAATCCCAGAACAACATCTGCTGCGACTGCAGTGCGCCTTCTCCGCAATGGGCATCCCCCAAATTCGGCGTCTTCATATGCCTTTCCTGCGCCGGCGTGCACCGTGGTCTCGGTGTCCACATCTCATTTGTGCGCAGCATATCCATGGACGCCTTCAAAGCGAGCGAGATTGAGCGAATGCGGCTAGGCGGCAACGAAGGGTGGAGGAGATTTTTCGAGGAGCACGAGGATACACAGATGCGAGGAATCACTTGGGAGGATGCGACGATTGCAGAACGATACAGCGGCGAAGTAGGCGAGGAGTGGAAGGAGAGGCTTTCGTGCAAGGTTGAGGGCAGGGAATATGTCCCCGGTGAGAAGAAGCCTCCTGCCCCTGCGATGAAGCCCACGCCACCGCCTGCTCTGGCAGGTCAGAGAGCTAGTTCGAGGACAGCAACGCCGCTGAGCAATTCGACGAGCCGAAGCGAGAGTCCTGGCAAGGGCGGTACCGGTGTCAAGGTCAAGGTCGATGACCAGTACTTCTCAAGATTGGGCGCCGAGAATGCCTCAAGGCCGGACGATGTCCCTCCGAGTCAGGGAGGAAAGTATGCTGGCTTTGGAAATACCCCTGCGCCCACCGCCAGGACGAGCCAGGCTGGCATTCCCAACCTTGACGATTTGCAAAAGGATCCCATGGCTGCTCTCACGAAGGGCTTTGGTTGGTTTACTTCTACCGTGAGCAAGACCGCCAAGACGGTGAATGATGGTTATATTCAGCCCACTGCTAAGCAGGTTCGTACCCACCTTTGCTGCGCACCGACAATACTGTCCGCAAAGTTGAATCCCCGGATATTAATTAACCTTTGCGACCTGGCAGTTCGCAGAAGGCGACTTCGCCAAACAAGCCCAACTCACAGCCTCCCAACTCGCAAGACAAGCCCAATTGGCGGGGAAGTCCGCCCAGGAAGGGTTCAACCGCTTCGTCGAGGGCAACGACAGCAGCCACAGGAGGGATGCGCCATTGGATGCGAACCGCAAGGACTTTTGGGACGATTTCTCAAGTCTGGCGGAGCAGAGGAAGCAGACGAACAGTTCGATTGGGACGAGTGCCATGGGGATGGGGAAGAAGGGGTCTGGCGGCCCTCAGCCCACGAAAAAAGCAGATGATTGGGATGACTGGTGATCTAATCACGTTCGTTGGGGTAGTGGCGAGTACGTACTAGGGGCGTTGATGGGAGTATGACGGCTGCATGTTGACCCTCTATCATGAGTTACTCTTCCGTTTCCAGCGTGTGTGATGATTGCCAGAATGTGGCATGCTTTTATAGTTTGGTCAAATGCTAGGTCAGCCAGCGACTCGATGGTGACACTCATGAGGCAATGCCATGTTGCGAGATGAACTCATCCCAGAGCAAGTCATGTAGGCATAGCCTGCAGTATGATTGGGTAGCTGCAAAGCGCCGTCTGCTCCCTTCACTCCATACGTCAAGAATGAACTTTAGCCCGGATACTCATCATTGCTATCAAGCCTGGCTCTGAGGGCGTAGAAAATGTATCTCAAGCTCTGACCGGCGTTTGCTTCCCGGCCGGCTTGTCCCCACACAATCTTTTGCGCCAACCTCACGTGACTCGGATGGCCGAGGCTGGAGCCGGCCCTAGCCGGGACCACTCGGGCAACGGGTCATGACAGTACGCGGCAGCAGGCCCTTGCCTCTTGCAAGTCATCGACATAGCCATTGACTGCAACAATCGCCATGTCTGCTCTAAGGATCCTCGTCCCCGTCAAGCGGGTCATCGACTATGCGGTATGGAGCTCCTTCTACGCTGTACCCCAAGCATACGGCTCTCCTGGATCAGCAGCAATTGACAGGCACTTTCTTTTGTTCAATCTATAGGTCAAGCCGCGGGTCAACAAGGCGCAGACCGCTGTCGAAACAGCTGGCGTCAAACACTCCATGAATCCCTTTGACGAGTTGTCCGTCGAGGAGTCGGTCCGCATCCGTGAGAAGAAGCGAGCCCCCGGCGGCGTTGAAGACATTTGCGCCATCTCCGCCGGCCCGCCCAAGGCCCAGGACATCTTGCGAACAGCCATGGCCATGGGTGCAGATCGCGCCATCCACGTCGAAGTCAAGGAGGGCGACGATCTGGAGCCCCTGACCGTTGCCAAGCTGCTCAAGAAAGCCGCGGAGGAGCAGAAAAGCAACCTCGTCATCTTGGGCAAGCAGAGCATCGACGACGACGCCAACCAGACGGGCCAGATGCTTGCCGGTCTGCTGGGCTGGCCGCAGGCTACTCAGGCGAGCAAGGTTGAGTTCGGAGAGGGCGACAGCGTCACGGTGACAAAGGAGGTCGACGGTGGTGTCGAGACTATTCGTGCCAAGCTGCCCATGATTATTACCACAGACTTGCGACTCAACGAGCCCCGGTACGCGAGCTTGCCTAACATCATGAAGGCTAAAAAGAAGAAGCTGGAAAAGAAGACGCTCCAGGATTTTGGGTTGGACAATGAAAAGCGCCTCAAGGTCCTCAAGGTTACGGGTAAGTGCTACGTTGTGGGAGGTATCGGGACGGCACGGGGCCAGGCAAATGGAGGAAATGATTGCTAACGAATCCTTTAGAGCCTGCACCCAGACAAGGTGGCGGCAAGGTAGAGGATGTTGATGGCCTGATTGGCAGATTGAAGGAATTGGGTGCACTATAGACGAACGAAGCAAAGGATATACCTCAACAGTGCAGCATGTGACTTGCTGAGTCGGGAGGACCAGGGCTGTACAAGCTGGCGCCAAGACAATAGATTTTAAAGTCCAGGACCAAAGCTACTCGTATACGTGTCTGTTCACGTGTAGTTGGATAGTGTTGCGCGGGCCTCGTGTTGCGTCATGTTGCGTTTCACGACATGGGCAGAATTGGATAGGTGGCATGTGAATAGGAATTTTCTTGACAACTGCTCTTTGCCGTTATGTTCCTGAACGAGGAAAACAAAAGAGTCACGATGGTTTGGTGTAGCATCCAAGCTGCCCGGGAATTTACGCGTCTGAGCACACCTGTTGCAGATGCAAGTTGCCGAGAATGAATGATAAAGTGGTATCGATCAAGTAACATACACAATGACACAAGCGTGCCACACTCTTCATGTGCTGACTACAAGAATGAATGTCGTGTTTGCAGCTAGAGTAGGATCGGCATGTGGATTACAGCGGCAACAATGAAGGACGGGGTGTTGCGGAGAGCAATTTTTTTGGCAACGACATCGGCGAGAAGCTTGGTCACACTTCCCAAAGCGGCCAAGCGCATTTCCTCCAGGCGACTCCACCCCCACCAGCGCGCCAACGTTTCCAGACCACCTGTGCCCTGAGCTCGCCTGACAACAGCGTCCACAGGCGCATGAAGGCCCCCCGATGCAGCCAGCCTCCAACGCAGTTACAGCGACCGCCGGCAGCGACATGGCGTCGGGTCTGGGCACCACCCGGCCAATCAAGAAGCGCTTTGAGCAGCGGCCACCGGCAGACCTCGCAGCTGAAACTTTTTCTTCCCTCTTCTTTGCTTCGTGCCCGCGTTGTCATCGCTTCCGCTTCTTTCCTCCCACCTTCCAAAACCCGTGACTGAATACATCGTCCTCCCTGATCTTTTACGAACCTCTGCTTCCAAGCCTACCATTGCGCCTCAGATCCCCATCCGTGGATCAGCTGCTCTGAATCCGCCCTTATGAACGGGCGCCCGTCAGTCTTCACCTCTCAGGTACGTGACCGCGGCGGGTTGGTCCTATTGATTGATGAATTGCGTGTTTACCACTGCCCCGCCCCGTCCGTCTCTTTGACCGTGTGTTGCGAGACGGGCATGCGAACTCGACACGCAAACCCTCTCTCTCTCGCATCTATCCTTCTTCCGCCCATCGGCACCAATACATTGTCTCTATCATTACTTCCCGTTCTTCAATTCTCTACCTAGCAGTTTCATTCATTTGGGCCCGAATGCCAAGTACTGACTGACGCCGTCTCGACAGGATTATCTCTCCGGTTCGTCGGATTTGAGTCACCGCTTCTGCATCCCCCAACCCTAGACTGACGCTTGACTGTAGACCACCTCTGGAAGTCCCAGTCATCATAGATTGTACTTCCTGGACCTCGGATCACCCTTGCCTGCACCTTTGGTTCAAGCTTACTCTCCGCATCACGAGCTGCCATGTTCTCTCGACTGGCAATTAGACTCGCCAGACCGGCCTTCAAGCCGGTGACGGCGCTTCAGCCTCGCATGGCCATTCAACTCCGACTCATGTCTCAGGCGACTGCCGGAAGCACTGGCCGGAAAATGCCCTACAAGCCCACCAAGAGCACCGCCCCTGTCGATTCGGTGCCTGCTACCTTTACCATTCGAGTATGCCGCCGTGTCTTTGCCCACTAACACGGCATGATTGTTGACTTGTCTAGGATGGTCCTGTCTTCAATGGCACGGCTTTTGGGGCCAATGCCAACATTTCGGGCGAGGCCGTCTTCACCACCTCTCTGGTTGGCTACCCCGAGTCCATGACCGACCCTTCTTACCGCGGCCAAATTCTGGTTTTCACCCAGCCGCTCATCGGGAACTATGGAGTGCCCTCCAACGAGAGAGACGAGTATAACCTTCTCAAGCACTTCGAGTCACCCCACATCCAATGTGCGGGTGTCGTCGTCTCTGACGTGGCTCTCAACTACAGCCATTGGACTGCTGTCGAGAGCCTGGGCGAGTGGTGTGCCCGAGAGGGTGTTCCAGCCATATCCGGCGTCGACACTCGCGAGATTGTCACCTTTCTTCGGGAACAAGGTTCTTCACTCGCGAGAATTTCCATTGGCGAAGAGTATGACGCCGACGAAGATGAGGGATTCATCGACCCTGGCCAGATCAATCTGGTTAGGCGCGTGAGCACTAAAGCTCCCTTTGTGGTCGAGTCTCCTGGTGCTTCACTGCACATTGCTCTCATCGATTGCGGTGTCAAGGAGAATATTCTCCGAAGCTTGGTCAGCCGCGGAGCCTCTGTCACTGTCTTCCCTCACGATTATCCCATTCACAAGGTTGCTCAGTACTACGACGGCGTCTTCATCTCCAACGGTCCCGGCGACCCGACCCACTGCCAGGAGACTGTTTACAACCTCTCCCGTCTGATGGAGACTTCTTCCATTCCCATCATGGGCATCTGCCTTGGCCACCAGCTTCTCGCCCTTGCCGTCGGTGCCCGTACCATCAAACTCAAGTACGGTAACCGCGCCCACAACATTCCTGCCTTGGACTTGACCACTGGACTATGCCACATTACCAGCCAGAACCACGGCTACGCCATTGACGCCAGCACCCTGCCCAGCGAGTTCAAGGAGTACTTTGTCAACCTCAACGACGGCAGCAACGAGGGCATGTTGCACAAGACTCGACCCATCTTTTCCACCCAGTTCCATCCGGAAGCCAAGGGTGGCCCGATGGACAGCTCGTATCTATTTGAAAAGTACCTAGACAACGTTCGTCTCGCCAAGAGCAATGCACTCGAATACAGGGACAACCGTCCTAGCCAGTTCATATTGGATGTGCTGAGCCGACAGCGTGTTGGCGTTGAGCCTGTGTCTCTTGCTAGCGCCGCGTGAATTCGAGGCTGGTCGTGGGGTCTCGATGGAAAAGTAACGGCGTGGGATTTTTGTGTGTTGGCTACATGTTTACTAGGCAGATTGCAAGTAATGAACGCTCCAAATACGGCACAGCGCCACACTAGTGAAGAAGTGATGTATGGTTCCCACGACTTGTCCTGCTTGACGTGGCAGCAGATTTGAGATGTAACGGCATCTTGTAAAGACAATATTGATAACTTGAGCTGCCCCAAATGCCACTTTGGTGCGAGGGCACCACGGCCAGACCAGGCAGCGACAAGCTAGGACACGGGGTCTTTACTTCCGCAGCCAATGAAAAAGAGGCCGTTGGGCGTCGGATCGACTTGAGCGCCACATAGTACAGGCGGGAAGCATTACAGACCGCGTCACGAATCGTCATTGTGCATATCGGGAACTGGGAAGTGGGAAGGGGAAGGGGAAGGGGAAGGGCAAGGCGAAGGGGGCCCCGAGAAGCGCGCCGGCCTCGGGCGTCGCGTCCCGCATCGCACCGCCCAGTCTGAGTCTGGCACGCGGTGATTATTGATTATCCGGGCGGCACGCAGGCCGGGCGAGACCACGGTTCCGCGACGTGCGATGGGTTGCAGTGCCTGGGGTGTCTGGCCAGCGAGGGCGTCCCGGCCTGCGGTGCGTGTCGTGTCGTGGTGTTTCGCGGGCTCTGCTGACGATTTGCTGACGATTGGCCGGTCGGGCCGGGGCGGTTTCGAGGCGAAGAGCACCACCAGCTGCGGAGTTGGAGGGACCTCGTGTACGACGCGTCGACGGGGGAGGGGGGTCGGTCCGTGGCTGCGACGCTTCACGGTGGATTTGGTTTGGCGACGTTGGGTTTCTGAAAAATCAGGCACAAGGTCGTGTATATTTTGGTATTTGGTGTGTCACGGGCGGGCTGCGCCGGACTTCTATGGTACAATATATTGTTTTGGTTTTTTACCGACGACGTCAAATGGTCCTCTCTTCCTCGCAGTCTCTCTTGTCTGCCCCGACTGCCACCGGGGCGGCGTGTCAAGCCGAGTCCTTGTACCTGGCGTTGCTGATGACCTGAATGGCAGTCTTGCGGACATGCACGTCCCAGCCATCGTGAAGCACTCCATATTCTTGCAAACGACGAGGGTTACGCGAGTTGTTTCTAGAACCGGCGTCGATCATCGTCGTCCCAGCCTCCTGGGCCGGGCATATAACGATCACTCCTTGCGCGAAAGCCGCCTCCGCCTCTGGCTCTCGTAGAGCCTCTGCCTCGTCCGCCGCCGCGCCCGCCTCTCTCCCTGTGAGGAGGGCGGATGCCTTCAAAGATTTCACGGCCTCGGTCGACAAAGGAGTCCGAGTCTTCAAACGAGTATCTGTTGAATTCGCGGCCCAAGTCGCGGTTCAGCTCGCGCGTGTAAAAGGCCCGCATGTTTTCAACGCGGCGACGGGCAAGATGCTCTGGCACTAGGTGGTATGCTACACTTGGACGTGCCCGGGTGAACCGCGCCTCGCCGGTCGGGCGATATGGCGCAGGTGGTGGCTGTGGGCGTCGAGAGCCACGGGGACCGGTCGGGGGAGCCGAGTCTGTGAAGGCGCCCCTGGGCCCGAGGGGGGCAGAGTTGATGCTGTCTGGTGCTGGTGCTGCTATGGACGAGGGCTTTGTGGGTGGTGGAGGAGGCGGGGGCGCGCGATTGTTGGACGAAGAGAGGGAGTTTGACACGAGACTTGCCTCGACGGTGCTCCCGTCGCTGGCGGGGGCGTAGACGACTTCCCATCGGTGACTGGGCCTTCTGCCGCCGGATTCCTCCATGTCGATCCAGGAATCCATCTTTTCGGGTGGTATAAAGTCGATGGAGAGTGCTTTGCGGTTACTTTCGTTGGGCCACACGCGTCCGTGCAGCAGCTGGCGGACACGCGAGGCAGCTGATACGGAATCCAGGGCCACAAAGGCGTGGGTGCGAATGAAGTCGAGGTAGAACTTTGTGACAATCTTGTCCGCGGGGCTTGTGCCAGGCGCTGTGGCGAGAGTGACTATGTGTGCGCGGAGGTCGGCTGGTCGAAGAGGTCGCATCAGGTTGTTGATGCAAAGCGCAGATGTGGCCGGGTGCACCGAAGGTTCGACGTGTCGGTCGTAGTCTACCTCGGGGGCATCGTGAGCTTCGGGCGGGAAATGATTGAGCTGATGTGACCTCGAAGCAAGCGCCGCGTCGGCTCGCGCCCGTTTTCTGGAAACTTCTTCCTCCTTGGGAGTAGGACTGGCAGAGCGCCGTTTGCGCTTTAGCGCTTCGGCTGGAGCTTCAACGGTTGAGTCTTGGACGAGTTGCTCACCCATGAAGGGAGCATCGCCATCTGCGGGCCGGGGGTCTCGGGACGGAGGGCTTGGTTCGGGCTGTGATTCTTCCTGGTGCGCTGGAGTGGAAACGACTACCTCCGGAACCGCTGCATGAGTTGGCTCTTGTGTCGTCGCTGGAAGATGACGGGGAGGTGTTTGCTCTGGCTCGATTTCACGAGCATCCTGTGTGACGACTTGTCCGTCTTTGGTCTGCTCCTGCACCCCCTGAACGTCTTGTGTTTGGCTGGTAGAATCCCCATTGACAGGATGCAAAGACTCCGACTCAAACTGAGGCGTCTCATCATTCATCTGCTCGTCAGCATGCGACTCGGGCTCGGGCTCGGGCTCGGGCTCGGGCTCTGCTTCCGTGGCTTCTTGATCAGCCTCTTCCAATCGCGCAACAAGCTCTACTTTCAAGCCCCCCTGCGGGAGACCTCGTCGTTTGAGCTCGGCCTTGAGGTCGACGACCTTGAGCTTAGCCCAGTCGACCATGATGGGTGAGATTTCGGATGGCCAAGGAGGATAGCTCAGGGCATTTGGAGTTACGATGTCTTTGTATGACGTTGCTGGTCGCAATGGCAGATGAATGCGATGAATTGCGCCCAGAGTGCTGAAGGGCTATGCAGCGAGCAGACGTATCTGTGACAGTGGAGAGGGACGCGAAAATCCCCCGGATTGATGGTTTGGATGATGGAAATCTGCTGTGGCCCGAATTTTGATGCGCAGGCAAGGAACAAGGAAGGAGAAAAAAGGATGCGAGTCGCGACGCGCCAACTTTGTGCAAGGAGAAGAGACGTGGGGTCGAAGCCTGTTGACATTCTTGTCCATGGACTGGAGTCTGGAGACTTCTTAGGACGGGACGCTTGGCCACATCGGGACTAGTGGGCTCATGTTGACTCTCGGTCTCTTCCCCTCTTGAAATTGAATCCGTGCCACAACACGACACAAGACAACCATCAAGTCTTGAGTATTGCAATCCCACAGTCACAGACGACAAAGCCATGCGACAGCCTGTGACAGCAATGACGGGCAGACACATGGTGTGTACACCGTAGGCATCATGAACGGGGCCCCGGGGCAGGATATGCCTGAAGCGACGGTTCCCATGGCTGCCATGGCGCGATTTCCTGCGGACTCGGATTGCTTGGGGTCGTGATTTGACATCAAGTCTTGGGACGACAGCGACAATTCTTTGGGACATGTTAATGCAGACTCGGCCGGCGGAAATATTTCGCATGCGACAACGGCGCAGGCGGCACCACACACCTGGGGTGAGTTAGGGTTAGGGTCAGCGCGCCTTACCACTCCATTTTGTCGCAATACTACTTCCAACGTTGGCAGCGATATAGTTATCACATGACTACTACTGGTCGCGTGGCAAACAAAACTTCACGCTCGTTTCGACTTGACAAAAACACTCCCCTCCAGCCAGCGACTCAAGTCCTTGACATCAGGGTCAAGCTCCCTAACAGCAGCAATATCGGCGCCATAGCCTTCCGTCTCAAAGAACCTAAACATGGTCTTCATCTCGACCGAGAGCTGCAAAATGAGCCAGGCCACAAAGCCAAAAGTAGTGGGCGGAGGGGCGCCCGTCTTCTCCCTAAAGACCTGTTCCAGCTGGGCATATGTCATTTCATCCCCAGCCAGCGAGATGCTCTTGCCTGCAAACCTCTCGGGCTCCATGAAGGACAGCGCGGCAAAGGCGCCGATATCATCGGTCGAGATCAGCTGCAGCGGGCGAGACTTGATTGCGTCGCGCCACGCAGTCACAAAGAACTTGCCGATGAAACCGGGCGCCAGGTTCTCCATGAAAGCTACCGGTCTAAGAATCGTCCACGACATGCCTTTCTTGCCCTTGTCTATGAGATGGTGCTCGATGTGGTGCTTGCTGATGAAGTGCGGAACATTGGTCGGGTTGTCGATGGACTTGGCGCCGTGGCGATCCACGGACGTGTACACAAAGTGCTTCACGCCGTGCCTCACGGCCGCGTCGATCAATGACTTGCCCTGGGCCTCCTCGATGATGGCGCCGGACCTTTTCATTGCGGGCGGCTGTGCGAGTTAGCTGGCCATTGGATGCTTTGTAGTCGCTCATGTCCGCAATGCGTACCTGGACGCTGAAAACGCCCCAGATGGGGACCCGGGTTGCCTTTGTGGCATTTTTAAAAATGCCCTCGGCATCGTCTAGGTTTCCCTGGACGAGGGTGATTTTGGGAGACGCGGCGGCCAGTTTCTTTGCCCCCGGCGAGGTCGTGTCTCTTGTGACTGCGAGGATCTGGAAGTCGGGGTTTTTGGCGAGCAGCGATTTGATGACGCTGCCGCCTTGTTTGCCGGTGGCTCCCGTTATGAGCAGGGCGCGAGACATGTGGACTGGTCAAGGTTGAGTGGTCCGATTGAATGGTCAAGTGTGTGGCGCGATGGCCGTCGGTGTAGTTGAGCGGATTGCAAGAAGAGGAAGACAAATATGCTGCCACGCAGTTCCTCGCGCTTTATATCCGAACCTTGTTGCGCGTGCCGCCAGTCCATCGTCCTGGTGATTGGAAGCCTCTTGCAAGTCCGGCATTTGAGTTCAATGCTGGGCCCCCGGAAGAATACCGAAGCGCCGAGACTCAAGTGCTCAGCCGCCTTCATCAGCGGCGCAAGACGAGGAGGGTTGGGGCCGCTTGGAACTCGGCAGCTGTGTCGCGGCAGCATGAGGCGGAGTGGCGGAGAGCCAGAGCTTCCAACATTGCCAATGACAGATTGCGACCAAAGCCAGGCAAACGCTCGACTTGTCGGCCGCCGCCGCCATGGCATCCATGGGCATCCACGGCACAGGACATGGCGTTGTCCTCGGTAGCTGCTACATCAGACATGTGCCTAATCACTCGCTCCCGTCACTTGGACGAGAAGACTGGCCATTAAGTTAGTTTCTAGTCACGGTTGTCATGCCTGTATTGGACTATTGCTCCGTTGGTCAAAAGTACCCGTCAGTTGACGGCTTTCATCTCCGATGCCAGTCCCTGGAAGGAGCAAAGATGCAAAATGCCACCTTGATTCCCCTGCAGCATGACAATCGTCACGTGTGACCAACACATCCCTCTTGGAGATTTGCAACCAAGAAACTTGACCATGTGTACAGCAAGAAGGAAGCTGCCAAGTAGCCGAATCAATGACAACCAAGAGCGACAAGCACCCGGCAAACGCCGACATCAAGTGTCTGAATTGAAAGAATCATCACCCACGCACGCCCGGCTGAGACAGGATACGACATGGGCCGTGCTGCCTGTTTGTTGTAATGATGAAAAACGAAGCACCAACGGTGGGCTCAGCAACAAGCATCGAATCAAAAGACAGCGACACGTGCCGGTGAGAACAGACAGCGATTTGCTCGCCTTTGTACAATGTCCACAGTGAATGAACTGCAGTGCTGAAAGCACCCGCCCGCCGTCACGCGGTTTCTACACCCACGAAGGATGGCGTAAAGGAGCAGACGAGGGCACAAAGCCAACAACCCTTTGAGCCGTCTGACGCGCAACAGTGCTGGGACTTCCCTCCGAGTACAAATACAAGGGCGGCGGCCTGAAGAAGTACCAGCAAGATTCATCGCCCAAGCAGCAAATCCAGTTCCTTGTCCAAACACCATCTGCCACAAGTTTCTCACCCAGAACGTGCAAACTCGACAAATCTCACTCGTCACCATGCGTTTTGCCGTTTTGCTGAGCCTCGTTGCTGCCGCCACGGCTTTGCCTTTCTTTGGCGCAGAATCCATCCTCTCATCGGTCCCCATCGTTGGCAAGCTCTTTTCCAAGAAGTCTGTTCAGGAGGACAACAATAAAGAAGGGACTTACTTCAAGACTTCTCCTTAGCGGGTTCCCGATACGTCGTCGTAGGTGGCAACTTTTGTTTTCTTGGCCTTGCCATCGAGACTAATTGTGTATTATGCTCGCAGCAGCACAGCCCCGATCTACATGGATGTTGAGACGCGAAGCCCTGTTTTGACAACAGATCCGGCATGTCGTCGCATTGCGCTCAAGTACGCCTTTCTGCCCTCTGATGATCTGCGGCCCTGAGAGCTTGGTGTTTATACGGCGTGGCGACTGGAGGGCGCACATGGCGGGGAGGGAAGACTGGAAGATCTCGGACGCTGTTGGTCGTGCATTTTTTGCTGGCATAAGTAGAAGACAGGAACTTCTACCTTGAGCACACGTGTTCTTTTCTGCACCGTTGCGTGCGCCTTTGCCATGATGTATATTGTGATATTCTGATTCCGTGGTCGTGGACGCGTCCTGGCTCGATGATATCAACGTTACAAAGGCATGACTTGGCAGAGCAAGATCATGTCACGTGATGGCGCCCGGACGAATATCACGGGAGGGGCACATGGCCATCAACATTCAACGACGAAAATCCGAATCAGTGGTCAAGTTCGGCTGCGACGAGGCCAAATGTGCCAACAGGACCACTAGCATGCATCGCTTTCCGCGTCCTTGTGGGCAAGCCCCTGGTCTGACTGAAACCACCGATCCTGGATCCTGGATCCTGGATTCAGGTAGCTGGCCGATGGAGGAGGGCCTGAGAAATGCAAACGCGAACAATGGTGACAGCATGATTGATACACGGCCGTCACATCATGGCTACTATGGTGGTTTGCAGTATACAGTACGTGTTGCTACAGATGATGGGTCTAATGCTTGTTTGCGTGGAAATTGAAGGATAGTTCTGCACAATGATGTGGGCTGAAGTACGTAGTGTAGAATATACATAGACGTTTTGCGTACAGCGGCGAGCTGCAAGAGTTTTCAACTACAAGAAGCCGTGCTCGTCACCACAAGTCCTCGTCGCTGCCACCCAAGCTTGCCTTGGACGGCATCAGCCATGCTAGTATTACGCAAATGCCAGCCCACTGCTCGCGAGTGACCGTTATTATTGACACGGTGACCCAGCAACAACAGCCGGTCAGATGCGTCCTGTAAGATTCGCAAAGGGAGACCGAATGCGCACCGCTCCAGCAAACCTGGCCTCTGGTGGCTCGTCGGCCGAAAACGCCAGCAAGTGCATACACGGGACAGGTATTCGACTTCGGACTGGGGCAATAAAAGAGTCCCAGGTGTGCAATATCAGCCAATAGCGCGTGGGCTGCCGGGTTTGCAGGGCCACAAAGACGGGGAGCACCCGCGCGCGGCGACTCCTCCAAGGCGATATTCGATAGATATTGTCCGAGCACATGGTCCATGGCGGTGGAACGTGGGCCTCGCCGCTCGCCGGTTAGCCTGCAGGCAGGGACGCAAGAGGTGTTCAGTCTACGTACGCCATGGGTCGAGGGCCGATAAAAAGGATTTTATTGAAGACGGGAAAGGTTGAGAATCATGTACCTGGGGATTTTGGGAAAAGCTGCCTGCCGCTTGTGGGAGAAGGACAAAGGGGATAGATAAATACAACATGTGCTGGTCCAAGGTGATGAGATGACTTCTTGTTTTGCAAAGCACATCCTGTCTGCCTGTCTCTTCAACACTTGTGTTCGAGAAGACACTTGCGCATAGAAACACGGGCGTTTTCTACAAAGTCTCCCGTTTATCGCAGCTTGTTACTGGTCACGAGTCTTTTGCGTCCCTGATACTGCCGGATACCTTGCTGCACGAATTGCAAACAACAACTTGACGGATTTATCGCCTCGAACGCCCCCTTCTCGTACCGCCGCAACAAGCATTTGCCCGAGGGCTTACACAACGACCACCATGCGGCTCGCCAGCAGCAGCATGACGCTCCTCGCAGGGATGCTCGCCTTGTCTCGAGAGTGCTCTGGGGCGCCGGCTGCGCAACGTGGGAGTATAGTCGACAACGACAGAGATTTCTGCACCAAGGCATGGGAGCAGCTTTCGCTCGGCCAGCCCAGCTTTTACATCCAATTAGCGTCCGAGGGCATGTCTCCTGCAGTGCAGGCACAGTACGCTGCGGAATCGTGTGCTAGGCTTTGCGAAATCAACTCCGGAAGCTGTGCCACTTCCTCGACTGAAGGCCCTCCTGTCCCCGATACGGGCTACATGTGCGGACCTGGCAACCAGTGTATCAGTCGAGGGCCGGGTCGGGGCAGTGAGTTTTTGGTCCGCTAGCCGAGCTGTGTCGTTAGTTGTGGTTGTAGGCCGTTGTTGTGTCGCAGTTGTAGCCTGTCTTGATAGTTGTATGAGCCTAAATGACGTAAACTTTGGGCTGTGTATAAACGTAATGAGGACTGCTTATCTTACGGAGTGGTTGTGGTCGGCGAAACTGTAAACATTGATTGCTGGCCGGTGCAACAAGAAGACATGGGTGCTGTTTGCCTGCAGTTTTGCCTCGCTGGTTGCTGGAAATGAGCGATCCCAGATGCACGCACGTCGTCCACGAGTTGGAAAACGGTCATCCGCTGGCTGGTGGTGAATCACGCGAACAAGGACATCGATAAAGAGTGGCATACGTGTCCCATGGTGCTTAGTGCGTGCCGTGTGGTAATCTATTCGACAAGTTTCCCACTCTGCACGAGTCATCCGGCAGACTGGCCAAGGCCGACTTCTCGCCAGAGAGCGCGGCGTCCGAGGCTCAGGCTGCTGAGAAAACAATCTCTCCCTCAAACCAGGTCCTCCGAACCTGGGCATCCCTAAACGCCCCCTGCTCCCCGGCGCTCAGGTCGCGGTCGACCTCGATAAAGTTGGCACGCTTGCCGGCCTCGATGCTGCCCGTCTCCTTGTCGCGCCCTACCGCCTCGGCGCCAGCCAGGGTCAGCATCCGCAGCAGCAGCTTGGCCCCTTTGCCGCGGTCGCCGGATCCCACGCCGGCGACAAGGCCTTCTAGACCCGGGAGCAGGTCTGGAGATTCGGGGACGCCCCAGTCCGAGCCGATGGATACATGGGCACCGTGGCTGAGCATCATGGGAAAGTTCCAGTCCATCAGTGCACCTTCTTGCGCGCTAAAGGACTGGCAGAAGAAGACGGCCGGGGACATCTCCGCCGTGGTATTCAGGGCACGGAATCGAGGGTATTCGGCTGCACGGCAGGGTTAGTCAGTCGCGTGGCGCCCGGCAAGGGCGAGCAGTCCAACTTCGCATCGCGATGAGGGGACGAGAAGAAGGGACCTTGACGTACCGCTATTCACGCCAGAACAGTGCGCAATCTCGTGCCTTGGTCCGTTGGGATTTCGTGATCTCGCGGCCTCGATGGCGTCTAGTGCCAGCCGTGTCGCGCCCTCGCCCGTGCAATGAATCTTGCACGTCATTCCTCTCTGGTCATACCTGATGATGGCCTCTTCCAAGTCTTGCAGAAACAGCTTGTGCTCTTCTACCTTGCCGTCCTTATCGAGCCCAGCTTGCGTGTAGTACGGATTCAGGGGGACGCCGTCCAGGATGATCTTGACGAAGCGAGTGTCCACGTGACGCGTCTTGAGGGTGTCGGCCCGGTCGAGCAACTGGGTCAGCTCGCCCTGGGATTCCTCGGCAATAAACTCTGGCGCGTACACTATATGCGTGTACAGGTCCATCTGCAGGTGCCCGTCGTGGTCCATCTGGCGCAGCGTGTTGAGCATGAGCGTGTTCGTGGCCGCCTCCTGGCACGACGTCACCCCTGCTCTGTGCAGGCGCTGCACGGCGTACTTGAGCGCGCGTCTCACATGCACGAGCGGAGGTTTGGGACACGAGAGGAGGGCTTTGGTGGTGGCAAGCTCGGCCAGCTCGCCCGTGAGGCTGCCGTCGGGTCGGCGGCCGATGTAGGCGCCCTTCATGTCCGACTCGTTGGATACGTCGTAGCCCGACTCACGAAGAGCGGCCGTGTTGAGAAGCAGACTGTGGCCGGCACCGGCCCGGATCATGACTGGCGTGTCGGGGTATGCTTCGTCCAGAGCGGACCGGTCAAAACCCTCGATGCGGAAGACGTCTGCGCTCAGCCATCTAGGTTGTGTTAGAAGCACTCGTTGTTCTCTCTCTCAAGCTTCGTCGCCAGGACCGTCACCATCACCGTCGCCGTCATCACCATGACAAATCTTCCCGCGGGCTTACCGGCCAAAGGCGTGAGCATACTCACAGCCGCATGAAGCACTTTGGAGCTTCGCTGTCGCCTGAGCCATGGGAACGACCTCATCCAGACCAAGGTGCACGTTACTGAAGCGAGAGAGGCCGGCCATGAGGAGGTGCACATGGGCGTCGTGTATCCCCGGCATGATGAACTGCGACCGCAGATCGTGCACGACGATGTGCCTTTCGCGTGCGGTCGCCAGGACGGTTTCGCTTGAGCCGACGAGGGTGAAGAGCCCCGAGGCCGACACGATGAATGCCTCGGCCCATGGCTGCTTCTCGTCTGCTGTGAACACGCGGCCGTTAATGTAGGCTGTGGCATCTTGGAGCTCGGCCACGGATTGACGAGAAGCCATGATGTTGAAGCGTGAGGGAGGCTGGTGACTGGGTGGCTGACTGGCGGTCAACTCTTGTCATCTGCATCGCAGTTGGAGTTTATGCATCGCAACGTGCGGCCGGGGGGGGGGGAGGATCTGAATTGCAAGCAGCGTCGTATCACATCACGTCCATGGTGTGCGGTGTGCGGTGTGCGGCGTGTCGGGGACTCGGTGCTTTCATCGGCTGGAAGGTTATTCCGAAACCCAGTAGCCAAAGTGGTGGTTGCCAGTTGGAGAGAATCATGTCGAGTGTGCTTCCTCTTGGTCCGCCTCACTTGGAAATAGTCGACAGCGTTGAAAACCCCAACAACCTGGGCCAAGTCCCCGATCGAGAAGTCTCTCAAGGGCACATTTGCCATCTGCCTCGGCGGTGACTCAACGCGTACACGGAGAGGACGCGTGTGCGCCACGGGTTCCGATCCGAAATCCGAAACGGGCATCTTGGCTTGGTTCTTGGCATGAACCGGGCATGACCATTGCCGTGCTTGTTGGGCCGGACAATCGACCAGATAATCGCCGGCCAAGCTACGTACTAGTAGTACTACCGCCGCGATAGCAGGCGGCCGATTCACGGATACAGCCACGACACGATAGACTTTGTGGTTGAGTTGCAAGTTGGCAGCTCTGGGGACGCATTCAACAGCTACTGCGGCGCGGGTCCTGCACGACATGGACGCATGAATCACTGTCAGTCGTGGATGCATCGCCCGTCAGTCAGTCAGTCATATTGAATATGTAGACGTTGAGCGACTAGAATCGAAGAATTTCAATGTTATTCACCAGCCACTCGTATGGCGCCTGCCTAAAATCATCCTTGAGCAGCCCGGACTTGTGGTCAAAGAATTGAGCCAAGTTGTTTCCGTCGGACCAGCGAGGCCAGTTTGGATACTTTCCAGACACGCCAACGTTTGGATCTAGGTTGTACACAAAGTTTATGTAATAGGTGCGAATGCTCCTGGCAGCATAGTTGTCCTTGACGCCGTAGAAGACCTGGAGGAGATCGGAGCCGTGAAACGTGCCCAGGACGGGCGTCCACTTGTCGTAGGACGCGAGGTAGGACCACGACGGAACGTTTGGACGGACGTTGTTCGCCCCCGCCAGAAAGAACCGCCGGCTGAGCGTGAGGGCCAGGTCTCCTAGCACGGCGGCGCGACGCTTGAAGCCCGGGAATATCTCGTTCAGGAGACCCGTGTTGAACGGGCTGCCGTTGGTCACAGCAGAGAGACCGCTTCCATACAGGTCCACCAGTTGCGTCAGTTTCTCTGTGCTTGCTCTCGGAAAGTAGTATGATTCGAGATAGCTGACAAAGTCTTCGGTCCTGGTGAGGTTGTGCTGGAAGAGAGCAAACAAGGTGCCCTCATCCTCCTGGTTGCCGACTATCATGGGCACGGGAGCGTACTTTCCGGCCAGAATCAGAGCGTCGGGGGACGTGGTGATGGCCTTGCCGTCCGGACGGGGCAGGTAGGACAGCGCAAGGGAGTTGTATGACAGAACACCCGGCACCGAGGTGACGGCATTCAAGTAGTCCGTGTAACTGAGGCCTCGGAGGCATTCCAGCTTGTCTACGGCGCCCCCGCAACCTCCAGCTTGGACGACCTTGTCGAAGACTGCTTGTCCCTGGGGCGAATCGAGGGGGTCTGTTGGGACGACGCTCCCAGAGTTCATGATGGCCCCGCGGAACAGAGGCTTTCCCTTGTACGTGTGGTCGCCGTCGTACAGGATCATCTGGCTCAGGACGGACATGGCGCCGGCTGACTCGCCCCAAATCGTCACCTTGTCGGCGTCACCTCCAAAGGCCGCGATGTTGTCCGCAACCCACTCGAGGCCCATACGCTGATCCAGCAGGCCGGCGTTTCCAGACCCTTCAGACATGATCTCCTTGCCGGGCATGAATCCGTATCCCGACACGCGGTACTGAACCGCCACGAAGATGAAGGGCTGGCCGATTGACTTGGCATGATTGATGAGACTGGTGCCGTCATACATGGATGTCCACCCAAGCTGGTGCAGAGCCCATGTTAGCTCGCCGAATGGCAAAAGCAGGGACCTTTGCGCAGAGACTCACTTCGAAGGCGCCGCCATAGATCCAGAACAAGACGGGGAGCTTGGCCCCAGCAGCTGTGCCCTCGGGGCGCGCAACAGTGATTGTCAAGCAATCTTCAGACTGTCCAGTGACAGCCTGAACAAAGGGAAGATTTACAAGAGAACCAAGGATATCAAGCAGGAAGTTTTCGCTGTCTGTTGAAACAATCTGTTGCGGGCAAGCCCCGGCAGGGCCTGTACCGTCAAAGACCCCCAAAGAGTCGGTTCGACGTACAGGAGGCTTCATCCTCAAGGGCCCAACGGGAGCTTCTCCGTACGGGATTCCGCTAAACGATTCCACGCCTCGGTGAAGCTTGCCCAAAATCGTCCCAGCTGGGACAACGGCGGTAACGGTCCCTGCGTCGCGACCCTCCAGAGTCCCCGTGGGCGACGCCAGAGAAAAAGCGAACCAAAGAAGCGCGCATGATACAAGATGGATGAAAACCATGTCGAAACCTGCTCAGTCATGTAAGGGACACCACAGGGTCGCGTGGCCTCCATGACCGTGGATGGACGAGGCTACCAAGAACAAGAAGGGCCAACCATCAGATATACTGGCCACGGCTGAGGGACGCAGGCCTACACAAGCAAGAGGTTATAGGAATCATGAAGAGGAGGCACCTGCAGAAGCGCGGGATTTTCCCCTTTGCCCGGTCTAGTTGAGTTCCCAGCATTTAGCACGTCGTGACAAACTCACATGACCCGTCTGTGTGATGCGTGGCCACCTCTCGATGCGGTTTCCAAGCTGCCGGTCCTGCGGGATCGCAAGGCTCGGCGGACAAGGGTTCGGCAGAATTTTGAGCTTTACTTGCATTCAGGAACATCTGCCGAGCCGTTGAGTAGCTTGCGGTGATAATGGTTGCGCATGTGATGCTGGTGTTTGACACTCGGGGTCGTTTCTGTGGGAGAGAACGGCCGAGGCGTTTTGTGACGACCGGCGCCCAGACGACGACTTCTAAGCATTCAACGTCGGCCAAGTCCAACTAAATGCATCATGTTACCCGCCTGGGGATTCTGTGGCTTCCTCGAGCAGCCTCCATTGGGTACGCCAAGGTCGCTTGGCAAAGCTGGGGGAAATACTTGGTGCCTTTCATGCACGAGACGTCTAGTGGAATGGGATGATGGGGAGCTAGGCTACGCTTGAATGATACAAGATCGACCCAACACCTCGTATAAACAAACGCGTGTGAAGCAGCCGCCAAGCCAAAAAGTACACCCGGGCCGGTGTGGCTTTCCCACGCATGCGTGGACGGGCGAAGTTCCCAGAGTCTACTGAGCAGCAGAGTGGCCGTGTCTCCCCCGCAATCTTGGTGTTTCTGCCTTGCCCAAGTCACCTTGGTCAGACCGAGATAGCTTGCGCTAGATGGTCGCCGGGCCTGAGAGGAGCGGTGAGTCGTGGTCCACAACTTGTTCAAGATGGAACGTCGGTTGGGGGCAGTTGTCCGAATGCATCACGAATACCCCGTCAGCAGTCGGTGCCGGAGTAGGTAAAAAGCATCTTGACTCGACTACGTCAACACACGGCGCATTCGCAGCACATGTTGTAGCAGTCTAGTTCAATGTGCTGGGATAACCCTAACCCTGTCCCTCATCCGCCCTCCACACCGGCGTCGGCTATAATAGCCACCCGGCGCCACAGAAGCGATTCCAGGCACGCCAGGGGGAAGAGGTGCTCGAATAGTCTTTGAAGTCGTCGATTTACGCGTCTAGGACATGGCTTGTCAGAAAGTAAAGGCGAGTCACGCTTTCACACTCACCAAAACGCGCCATCAGAAAAAGGGGGTGGACTAGGATTCCTAAGTCATAGCAGGTGTAAGAAGGCTTGTGCCCATCTTTCCCTATACAGATTATAACTATCACATCAATGGTTTCTTATAGCTTCTCCCAACCTCGCGGTAATGTGCTTATTAAACTGGCGGGTTTCGTCGCCCACAGGTGTCGCATAGCATATAAGGTGGTCTACCACACACAAAAGTGTGGCGTGGCACGCCCAACTTTTGGTGGACAACAGGCCGGGTCATTCCATTTCGAATTCGAAGCAAGGCGAGGCCCAACTGTATTCTGAGTCGGCTCGTCCTCATCAACACTCTTGTAGTCGTGGGCTGCAACAAGGGCCTGATATGAGAGCTTGGAATAATATATTTATAATAATACAATGATGGACTTTGTGCCCAAAGAAATCCTCGGTTGAATTTAGCGTGCTTGGACCCAAGAGGTCCTTTACCTACATGGAAGACGAGAGCTGCTGGCCCGGGCATCTGCCATTCTATCTTGTTGGCCTCGTTTTAGACCTCTATTGCGACCTCGCAAGACCCTTGTGCAGCAGGTTGGCAGATCGCCTTTTTTTGTGACAGCCCGACTTGACACCCCTGTTGTGGTCTATCCCCGTAGCTTCGGCCGGCTCCGGCTCCGTCTTGGGAAGCTCATCAGAGTTAAGCACGGCCGTAGTTGATTCGGAAGCCCTCGTCAGTACGAGCAACTTGAAGGTTCTCCACCCGCCTGCAAACACCATAGTCCGTAGGCATGTCCAGGACACTTCCAGAGTTGCCAGTGCTTGTAGATGAAGGTTCGAAAAAGGTCACGCCAATCTTTGGCCACTGGCGACAGTTGTCATGCATGTAGTGCTCAATGAACCCGGACCCCCATGACTGCATATTACCAGCTCCTCGCGGGAGAGTCCATACACCAATTTCGTGAGACTGGCCCGTGGCCTCATTGACGAGACGGCCTCGCCAGGTGGTGCCGCGGATGTTTTCCACAACCAGGTTGTAGCGATGCCAGTAGTCTCCATACACGTCAATGGCGCAGCTAACGCCTGGTCCGCCATCCGCGCCGTAATAGCAGTTGGGGTGAGAGGTCTCAGTTCCTCCCTGGAACGAGGAAAAGGCAGCGTGGACGACGCTTCTGCCGCCGTAGTCAGGACGGGGCTGAATGCCAATATATGCAACGTTTGGGATGTTGTCAAATTGGAATTGATAAGCAAAGAAGTAGCCTTCGACGTGTCCTGCACTCCGCATGAGCAAGGGGAAAGTCGCATCCGCAAGGCCGTCAGGTGGTGGATTGCGAAAGTACCAACGCAAGGCGAAGGTGGCATGCGCCAGGTAAGGGGCGAGGGCGACACTGATGGCCGCGGCGACCTTCATGTTTGGCCAGGGCAATGCTTCCAAGAGGAGGAATGAAAAAGAGTGTATCTCGACTTGATTTCCCGGTTTGAATTGCAAAGAGTGATGTTGTCCGCATCTCGTGAGCCCGGGCGGTGACTTTATAAAGCTGGTATTTTGGCTTGCAAAGAGGCCGTTGGAGGAGCAGACACGGCTGGACAAGACTATTAGCTTGCTCCTTAATTTTGAATCCTTCCCACTCGATGGGTACAGATCTGTAGCGTTTCAAGACTTGGGACTCGCATAAAAGCCAGCAGTGACGTGTAGACGACTTATGGACACGAGATGCTTGACGCGCGTTGGTATTTTGCACAGGACCTCATTTTTGAGCAGACCCGCCGTCTTGACCCTGGGATCTTGGTATTACCTAGTACTACCGTGCGAAGTGAGCCAACAATGAAAAGAAGACGGGTCATGTTGAAATTGCTAATCGGGGCTGCGCGGTGCGAAATTGTCGTGGACATGGACCCAATCTACGACTACCCTTGTAAGTTTGTCCACAGGCAAGCTGACAAGACAGTTGCCGGTGATGTACGGGCAGGTACTTTTGTTGATACAGACGTGCTAGTGGATGATTCCACTCTACGTGGCCGGTTGGCTGCCTTGCAACGACGAGAAAATGCTCTAGAGTGTAGATGCCTGACCTTGACCTTACCGGACCTTACCTTAGCTCACCTGACGCCGTTGACCTGGCCACAATTGGCAGTTAGTGGGCCTATTTTTAGCGGAGACAAGGTGGACAACCAACTTTATCGTGCAAGGTGAGCTTAGGGTTAGGGTTGACTGGCCCGTCAATGTGAAGCTTGGCAAATGCCAACTTTGAAGGAGGAATGGGGGTCAGGTCATTTGCATTCTCCATATAAACCAGACGTTTGGGACCGCCAAGCATGCCAAGAGAGCGACATGAAACCAGACCATGACTCTGTTAGAATCCTCGTCCACGCTGCGGGCCCTGGTTACGTTAATATCCTCGTTTCAGCATGCAACTTATTCATGCAACATGGAGGCATGCAGCCAAGGACAAATGCTAGGTGTCACGTGTTGCCATCTTTGCAAGCCAATTCCACTCCGAGGAGGACACAACAAGCCAGAAAATAGACGATACTGGGCTCAGAAAGTTGCCGCTTGCGCTCCTCGCTCGCCACGGTGTGTCTGTCTGCGCGTAAGTCGATGAGACTTTTGAGGCCTTACGGTATCAAGTCTTTGAGGCGTCCGGGTGGCGCATCTCGACACCGGGCGAAGCTCAAAGACCTGAAAATACCCGAATGGATACCGGAAAATCCGAATTGGCGCCCGTTGACTGGTCTATTCATCAGCAGGGGCTCTGACGGCTATGCCGTGCGCTGCAAACGACACGAATCAAACCCTGCCGTACTGAAGACCGCCGCAGTGACAATGAGCTTGGCGTGTGTGACGATGTTAATCCCCAGAGTTCCCAGCAGGTACATGAACGCGCAAACCCCCAGCAGTTGGCGCGTGGAAAGGAACACTTGCCTCCGGGTCCAACGTAGTTCACGCGGCGACCTCGGCAGGGTTCTCAAGTGCGTGTCAAGCATCACGCGCCGGGCCAGAAACAAAGCAGAAGCGACCAAGGCGGGATGGATGAATTCGGGCGAGGAAAGCAACGGGGCCACCGCCCAGTGAACACGGATGTTTGCAAAGAAGGGCGGGAAGCTGAGGAGAACATATTGCTGGCGTCTTCTGTATTCTCAGTGCCCACAGGTACATGGCAGAAGCACTCGCTGTGCTGCGAGAAGGCGGCTCGCCAACTGCAGTCCGCGTCGGTCTTGCGCAACTTCTCTTCCGAGGCGTCGAGGACGAGACAGAAGAGCCCGTGTGGCGTACAGCTCGCAGGCCATGACCGTGGACGCAGCTGGGTTTCCGAGGACGAAGCTACCTTGTTCCCTGGACAGAAGGAGCATCAACGACGAGAGGGACGCCAAAAACATGATGTGCTGAGATGCGGCGTGGTGGAAGCGCCGAATGAGGCCAGCGTTGAGCGTGGCCACGACCATGATCGAATCAGGCGTCGTGCTGAGCGTCAGAGAGGCCCAATTGTCCGCCGGTGCATCGATAGGTCTTGTTTCGACAGGGCAAGCAATGCTGCTTTTGGTTGAGACGTGGAACGGGACAGGAATCTGGGCCAAGCAGATGACAATTGCGAGCCGCAACACACGGGCAAGTTGACCGGAGAGCTGGAGCAGCCAAAACACCCGCACTCTGCCATCTCCGAGGTCAGAGTAGAGTAACCCGTCGTCCCTTCTCTCCCGCGCTGTGCTGAGAATGCGGCCGAGCCTCGGTGGTCACTCTGTCATGACACGCAGCCGGGAGATGGCAGCTTGTAACTGGGTTTTGCACGAGGACGGATGCACACTCACTCGGCTTGGGGGCCTTGGCAAAAAGGGGATGATGTCTGAGTCGGAGCCTTGCATGTCCGCAGGAATCACTGTGGCGGCCGTACAGAAAGAGATGCCGAGAACAAAGGTACAGCCGCGCAAAGGGGCGTCAAGGTGAGAGCTGACGAGCGAACAACGGCGAACATGTGGCTAGAGCCACATTCAACACCGGACATGTGCGTAAATCAAGCGCAGTCTGCACTCGGCGACCAAGTAAACTATTTATTCTCTTATTCTCTACATATTGACAAGGGCAAACGGTAGATGTGTGAGTACGGTGAAACCGTCCGGGGATGAACCAGGAGCCCGCTGCCATGGACGAGACGAAAGAGCGCCAATGAGACACACCGCCGGGTGACTGACGGACAAAAAGAGTCTAGCCCATGAGAAGTGACGGCAAGATCCGGTACGGGCGTCTCAGCTCAAAATGCAGATCGAGTCGGCATCGACACGGCTGTCAAGGGCTGGGTCGGGGTCGTTTCCAGATCGACTTGTCACGGCGTAGAGTCTGACTTGTACGAGCTCTCGAGGACCGCCACGCCCACTGATCATGGGGTTACGAGTGATGGAGAGTTGAACGCCCACTGTTCGCATGGCATAATTCCAGACTGTCTTGCCTGGCTGGGCCATGTCACGCGTTCTTGTAGGCACGTCTCGAGTATCTCGAGTGCGATTCCGTGCTGCGAGGTTGAACTACGAACAATGTTTCGGCAATAATGACATGGTGTAATTACGTCTACTTTATACAGAGTGCTGTTTATGCCTTGCAAGGTCATTTCGGCCGAGTCATGACGTACCGCCTTTTGATCGTATACACTCATGTTTTGAATCTTTGGATCATCTAGCGGCCTTGTTCTGCTTTTTGATGGCCAATTCTTCCGGCCAGACCTAATGATTGTCTCTACCAACCGGCCTTGCCTGCGCAAGGTAATTTTAACAAGGTTCACTGAGCGACGATTGGCGTCAAGGCGTCTTGCCACGTCCAACTAGTCATGTGTTGGTAAACTTTGTTTTGGAACCCAATGAAGAAATTCTGGCAACAGTTTGCAGGAGCTTTTGACCCAGCTACCTCGAAATCCGTATGGTAAAGTCTCCTTTATTTTTGTAAGGTCTTTATTTTCATAAGATCGAGCTAGAATCAAGATTTATTTCAAGAAGGCGTTTTGGGGGGTGATGCATGTACTCTGAATGGCACAGCGAAAGAAAGCCCTTGTCCATGGAGATGGCATCCAATGTATGGCTTGGAAAGACGAGCCGCACCTTGAGCTCCAGCACAGTAGGCAGGGCCCATGTGGAGGAACTGAAGCAACTCTGGCGCGGTTGGAGAGTGTAACGAACTTGTAAAAGGGTGGAAACAAGACCTGACAGGTTGAGCGTGGGCGTAGCCGAGTGACTTCGAGGTCTCTACTGTTTGCTATACACATGTGCTGCATGATGCTCTTATCCAAGGACGGCGAGGGGGCTATAAGCCAAACGGCCTCTCGCGTGTCCCCGGTGGCTTCAACCGTGCATGAGCTTCATAAATTACATTGACGGTCCGCAACCTAAAAAGCAGCCCGACGTTCACGTTGCTTGAGGGGCAAAGCAGAGTTTCGTGCGTGCTATGTTGGCCATGGCTCGGCTACCCAAGCCACGACCGGCAGTTCCCTGCCGTGCTGGGGTGGGCCACAGAGTTCAAAGGTCGGGCAGACTTGATCAAGTCTCGAGCATGGACTTTTCATCGAAGAAGGGGGCGTCTCCGTCTCGCTCATCCGGTCAACGTGGCACACTTGAGCTCCTCTGGGCGGTTGCAATCTCACACGGTCTCGAGGGTCAAAGCCATGACAGAAGTTGCACGGAGGACGGGTCACAGCGGAAAAATAATAACCTGTGTCAACGCACGGAAAAGGGGCGAAAGCGAGAGGTGAGCGTCGAGAACACTCACGCTTCGCCGCACTGGCATTGCGTCATGTCTCGTTTGCAACGATGTCGCCTTGGTGGAAACTCTGCTGTTGCTTGGGCGTCAGTCTGTGTCGAGCGCAGCGGACGCGTCAAGATGTCTGCCAGCACATGTGCAACTGGAGACTTTGTAAATGTCGCAAATGTCCGTTGCGGCTGTCATGAGTTTTCTCACCGTCATTGCAGTTCAACCGTCGTCTCCGAGCGTCGGCACGCAGTTTCGACCTGAGAACAGTGAGCCCGGATCCAACTCGGGGTTGCGAACTGACGTTGCGGCAGACTAGAAAGAAAGAACACACGAGAGGTAAACTGCCATTTGTCGTCATCGCTTCATTGACCAGTTCTGCTCTCGGGCAAGACTTGGACAAATTAACAAGACAAAACCAACTGCCGCTGACGAAATAAGAGCACCCGGGCTTCGATGGGTGCCTGGCCTCGTACCCAAAGGGAGCGTTATTCACACGCCAGGTCCACGATTGCCCCTGACGCTATGTATCGGTTCCGTCGACTCCATCTTGCTCGTGCCTTTATCTACGGAGATGACGGCGGAGACCTCGTCTTGTCCCCCACTTGGGTCGAACTTACACACAGCCATGGCTGCTGCAAAGGCGGTTGGGAGAGCAAGGATGGCCCGGCTAATAAATGACCCCATTGCCACGGGGATGCTTCGACTTGACACAAAATCCGGTGGTCCAATTACCGTTTTGCTGTGTCATGACGCTTTGCACGACAGCAGCCCGACTGCATCAGGTTTCGGCCTGGATTCTCTCCCACATTCCACCATCCACCCGCAAGCATGGGAGGGAACTGCTCGCTGCTTCCAGGGAGTCTCGTAGCTTTTTGCTCGGTTGACTGCCGCTGTACACGTGCAAGCTAGCTCATGTCCTGCTTCTGCGCCCAAGTTCTGGCTCACCTGACACGCCTGCCTGCGGCATCTGTGGTGCCAGTCTGACAAATACGTATTCCAGTCCGCTCTTGCCTGCTCCTTCGATGGATGACAGGGCTTCTTATAGGGCGAGTCTTGATGACTGGACGTGTTTCAAGAGGAGTGAAACCGGCCAAGCGGTTGCGCTGGCGGTGAATTCAGGCCGCTTTGTGTCGAAGCATGGATGAGCTCCAGGAAACCAGGTAATTTCAGTCAATAAATGTGCTTAGCTTGAGCTGGAGTCCGGGGAATTGTCCATGGCAGAACTTTGGGCGCTTTTACGGCGCAGGATTCACCTTGTTCACTCGAGCTCCCATTCGCCTTGCTTATTTAGGTGAACACCGCTTATACGGCATCTCAGGTGTCGTCTTGGGCTCTACGCTGCTCGGTTTCGCTGTTCGTTTGAGCATGACCTCTCTTCAGTGTTGGCCTTTGCCCGGGTGGGCTCATACATGCAGCCCATCCTGCATCCAATGGGCCAGAACAGTAATATAAGTGAAACAGGCCCCTGCGTTACCAAGGGCTCTACTTGTATGGCTTGGAAGAGTTTGGCTGATGGAGCGGGTGTGAATTTTGCTGAGAGGCGAGATTGACCTGGCTGGGATGTATAAAAAGGTTATTTTTGCTGGCATGTGTAATCGGAAAATTCCACAGCCACGATGTACGGTTACCTTTATTTTCTTGGCTCGTCTTAGCGGCTAATCTGCTGCGACCAAGTCCGACGTCTAGTAATGAGTTCTCACGGGCACAGCGCCCCGATAATCTAGAACCTGGACTGTATATTTCTCCTCCCGTTGCACACCCACGTGGGTCAGTTCATATTGAGTGACAGCGTTCTCGCCTGGCGACGCTTCCAGACCTCGAGAGATCCCTTCTCTGGGGCTTCCAGCAGTGGAGACATGACCTGGCTTCGTTCACGTAGTTGCGGTGTCTGTAGAACTGCAATCCAAGAGTAACAGCCCCAAGGGATCTGACTGGAGATGAAACACGAAAAGCCGGACACGTCGGGAATGTTCCGCCGCCGACGAGACCAAGACAAACACCCGTATCACATCGGCCTTTGATGTTGTAGCAGCTGAGGTTTACGACGGGCAGTGTCTCATTCGGGCCACGTCAATGCGGCTGTGAAGCTTGGATCACGGTTGCTATTATCGGCAAGCCACTCAGATTCATCATGGCTTTTTTTTAATCCGAATGGGATCGTCAGCTGGTGCTGGCCAATTGGGTCACTATCAAGGCCGCTTTATCAAATTTGCCTCGACTAGAATCCTGGAGGAGGCAGGCTTCAGTTTTCCAATTTGCTTCGTCTGTCTTCACATGTCTACGCACGGATTAGATGGAAAAAGGAGGTCATTAAACTGGAAAAAAGTAGTCCAATCTATTTTAATGTGGCATGGTGTGTAATCAAAACGTTGCCAACCCAACCCCCTGCTGACTGACAGCTGGTGTTGATGTCTGTCTACTTTCTCGCCTGAGCGTTGGCGTCGTATCTTGCCAACTGTGCTCATGCAGCCACGTGCGGCATTGCTTGAGAGATCTCGGAACGAAGCACGTGGTCAGCTTGTTTCAGTAAGCATCACGCGTCATCCATGTGGCTCTTGAAACCCAGTTCGTCTTTGACGGTGCGTGGTACGTCCCCGTGTTCGGTCGTCCAGAATCTAAGCCAGGTCCGGTCCGATTCGACCCCAAGACGTGGTGGAATCAAGCATCGTGCCGGACTCCCTGGCTCACGAGTTCCTACTGTAGGTAGATGCGAGTGCCAGGGAATCCGCATCGAAATAGGGTTTCGACCCTTGCGACAGTCCCGGTGCATCTCGTCGAAGAACTGGGAACAGGTGGACCGTTCGACGCCACCGATGCGACGTTATTCACAAACCATGCGTGACGACTGGGTGGATGTGCTCCCGGTCTCGAGACTGGTGGCAAGACGCCTCACATCGAGGTCCAACTCTCGTGCTGGCGCGTGCCAAGGCGCAGATTCGCGGGGTACGACTTGTTGAGAGCATGTAACTACATTGTTATAAGTTATAACTGAGACATGATGCGGGGGCGAGGCCATCATTCAGGAACAGGGATCGTTTCTTGCAAACTCAATACGCATGGGGCTCACAACGACCGAGCATTGTCCTGACTCGCCGTCCGTGTTGACGGCTCGGGCACCGAGGCTGCTGTGCGATGCGGTTGAGAGATCACGGCTGTCCTTTAGATGGTAGCATGGTTATTCCGTTTCTCTCTTTTCAATGTAGAGACGCCCCCGAGACGAGAACCGGTCGATTCAACGAGTCCAATGCCGACTCGAAAGGTCAAGGATAGCGAACGCCGCCGCTGCGTGCAAGCATGCGGCAACTGCAAACGTCGAAAGGAGCGATGCGATGGCCGCCAGCCTTGCCAGCGATGCGTCAAGAGACGAGTCCACTCCGAGTGTCGCTTCGGTCTTCAGCTGCCCGCTGTTGAATCATCGCGTTTCCCGCCGAGCCCCGAAACGAGCTCTCTCGGCGGATTTCCGTTGACGCCCCAAGATACGCCGCAGGGCAACGACGACATGGCGTCCCTCCCGGACCAGGAGCATCTCGCCTCGTTTGTGTCGAAAAACGTCGTCAGGAGCAGTGGGAATGACAGCGTGAGGGTCGTGTTGCCGGCTGGGGACGTTACCAATCACGGGTTTCTGACTGACATCCGCCATGTCGTCCGCACGCACTTGGGAAAACATGTCTTCAGTCACGATGACCCCAGGCTCATGGCACTGCAGGCGCCGCCAGATAGAAGGGACAGACCGCTAGACCACGTCACGAACCTGAGTCTTGCAAAGCCGGACATGGACGACATCCAGTACATCCTCCCCTGGTACGAACGCGCGACAAGCTTCGTCTGCCACATCTTCGACTGCGAAGCTGTTCGAGCAGGCATCCAAGACTGGGCCAGTCAGCCGGAATCACAGTCCGCCGCGATGAGCGCAACCTACTCGCTGATCCTGGCCGTTGGAGCTCAAGCTTGCCGGCATCGCCGGGACGACTGTGCTCGGAGACACTTCATCAACGGCCAATACATCACATTGGTCGCGCTCATGAACAGACCGGACATGTCCACTGTCAAGTGTTTACTTCTCATCACAGTATACCTGGTCGCCGAATCTTGCGGTGACGCTGCGGCGATGCATTTTGGGGCGGCTGTTCGAATCGCCCAGGCCCTCGGCCTGCATAGGCAAGATGCCTGTTGGGTCGAATCTGACTCGGCTGATTTCCTGACTCGCAAACGATTGTGGAATAGTATCCGAATCCTAGACGTTCAGTTGAGGGCCACCTTTGGCCGAGTAGCAACGGCCCTAAAGACCAGCGGCACCGGCGGTGCCTGGGGACTCTCGGCGTCGGACGACCTGTGTTCGATATTCGACAAGACTCTGAGTCGTGTCTATGACAAGAAAGACGTTACAATTGAACATGTAAGCACCCTCAGCGAACTACATCGAGACTGGGCATCCCGATACCAAGGAGGACTGAAGGCGGAGGGCACATACGCCAACGCCGTCACCGTCGACACGGGGAGACCTGTCCCGGACTATAGTCTCGTGCATCTCGAGACAATGCATCACTGGTCCGTGATGTTGTCGTTGCGGCCGTGCTTGCTCGACCACGTCGCGACAGCACTTTCACAGGAGCCTTGCAAGGAGCCATTTGCCGGCGGCAGCCCGGCGCTAGACAAGAACGTTGATCTGGTTCGAGCTTGTGTCAGCTCGGCGTTTTGCGTCGTCCAACTGCTCGAGCCCCTTGCAGGCGGCGTCGATGCGCCGAGACGCCTCCCGCTCATGGCCAATGCCGCCGTGACGGCGTCCCTGGTGTTGTCTCTGGCGCTTTTTGGTGCCACGGACGACGCCGTGTCGGTCGCGCGAGCCTTGGGTGGTTGTCGAAAAGTCATCAAGGCGTTTGGCTGTCATGACGTGGAAACATGGCTTGACACCATCGACAATATGCAAAGCGTGTACAAGGCATCTTCCGAGGCTCGACGACGTCGTAGGATGGAGCTCGACAGTCGGCTGATCAACCATCTTTATGGCTACCTCGACGGCAAGGATGCCGATACGTCTCGTCTCCAGAATACTCAAGACCCTGCGATGTGGAACTGTCGTCGGGAATCACGAGCGTCAATGACGCCTTGCACGACATGGCTCGACGATGCAGAAAACAAGACTGGCCTTGGTCACGGGTGGTCCAGCACCGCCGTCGTCGGCGGAGTCTTGTCTGCAGAGTATGCGTATGCTCCGGCGAGCTTCGACCTGGATCAAGACTTTGTGCTGCGGGATTTCTCATCAACCGCGTCATATCTGGGATTCGACGGCGATGCGTCCTTGTCGTGGGGCAAGAACAGGCGCCACGAGGATGTTGCTTTCGGTGCTGGGTCGCATGTTGTGATTTGATCGACTTTGCGCAAGCCCTGGGTTTCTGTATTTCCGAGCTGAGTCTTTGTGATGCGTGCTCCAGCGTCTGAATTCTTGTAGGGTTGCTTGATGAATAGATTTATCAGTCATGTCGGGATTCCAGCCCCCCGTTTCTGTAATTCATGCACTCATTGTCCAGGACGACGGTAACCTAACGATTCAAGCTGGGTGAAAATACGAATTCCTCACGGTGGACGGCGTACGGTCAACAAGCAGCCCGGGTGTCCCTCCGGCCCTGCCAGCAACAGACTTGCGAGACAAGATACGCATCGTTTCTCAAGCAGATTCCAACACACCAACTTCACAGACGTCTGCCTTTTCCTCACCCTCACTTGTCGACATAAAAGGCCAAATCTCCCCCGTCCCTCTCCAGCGAGGTCAGCCCGTTGCCCATGAACGCAAACCGATTCGCACCACGATACTCGAAATGGAAGTCTTCTGTGCGGAAGCTTTCAAGGAGCTCCTTGTAGTGCAGAATGCTCCCCGCATACATTGCAGTGATGATTCCGTCTCGGCGGTTGTTCTTGTACCATGACCGACAACCGCTCGCCCAGACTGTCCGCTTCAAGAACTCCTGAGTATACGCGTTGTACTCTTGGGTTGCGACAGAGTCAACCGTCACCGACCTGGGAGCGGGTTAATACGAGCGCTTGAGAGATGAGGGGAAGGGCGTCCGGGTCGAGAGGCGGGCGGACGTACTTGATGCCCTGCGTCGCCATCTTGCGGCACCACCTCAGGATATACTCGGCCGTCCATTCCATGACGGACAACAGACTCCCGTGGCCAACCGGCGCATTGGGCCCGTTGAAGACGAAGTAGTTGGGCATGTTGGGCGCACAGATACTCAAGTACGCCGTCGGCTCCTCCTCCCACTGGTCCGCCAGACGGACGCCCTTCTTCCCGACGACGTCCCAGGACGGCACGAAGCCGACGTCGAAGCCGGTCGCGCACACGATGGCGTCGAGCTCCTGAAAGCCGCCGCCCTCGGTGTGGACGCCCGTCTCCGTGACGCCGGATATCGCCGCAAACTCGAGAGCCACGTTGGGCCGCTGCAGAGCTTCCAGGTAGCCCTCTCCCGGCGTGAGTCGTCTGCACCCTGCTTTCCAGGTCGGTATCAGCTTCTCGCACAGCTCGGGGTCGTCGTTGAGCCGCCGCCTCATGCTCGCCTCGAAGGCCCTGCCCGACGCCGCCTCCTGAGGGGTCCCGAGCAGGTTCGCGTAAAACGCCTGGTTGAAGCCGTGTTCCATCGTCTTCCGCAGCCGCAGCAGCTCTTGGGGGTCTCGGCGGAACCGCGCCCTGTCCTCGTCCGAGTAGGAGAAGCGCCCTGCCTCGGGCGCCATGGCCGCCAGGAACGGGCTGGATATCCAGGTCGGCGATCTGATGTAGTGGACGATCTTGCCGGCGCCGGGCTGCATCCGCGGCAGGATCTGGATCCCGGACGAGCCGTTGCCGATGATGCCGACTCGCTTTCCCGTCCAGTCAAACGAGGCGTCCCACGAGGCGCTGTGAAGAAGCGTGCCTCGGAACGAATGCAAGCCCTGTATGGCGGGCCATTTCCACTTGTTCAGCAGGCCAGAGCCGTTGATGAGCACGTCGGCCTCGTCTTCGATTGTCTGGTCGCCCTTGCGAACCCGCAGCCGCCATTTGCCCGCCTCGTCGTCCCACGTGCTAGACGTGACGGTGCAGTTGAACTGTACCTTTTCGTCGAGGTGGTACTTCTCCGTCGTTCTCTTGATGTATTGCCATATTTCCGCGCCGCCTGCGTAGAACGAGCTCCAGTCGGGGTTTGGCTCAAAGGAGAAGGTGTAGATGTGAGCAGGGACCTTGGCCCAATGTTAACATCTGGATTCTCAGAATGGACCGGTTGCCGTCCAAGACGTCTCACTTACGTCGCAGGCCACGCCGGGGTATCGGTTCTCCAACCAAGTCCCGCCCACGTCGCCGTTCTTCTCGTAGATTGTCAAGTCAACAAAGCTGTCCGACCGAGCTTCGTACTTGTACTTGTACGCAATCATCAATCCGCTATACCCAGCACCGACACACACGACTCGGAGCCGCCTGGGTGTAAATGCCGGTTCGTCCCTGATGGAGATGCCTCGAGCAGCCGGCGACGTCCTCCTGGCGGAGGCATCGCCACCGGGGAGGTGCCGAGCGTCATTGGTCGGAGGAGAAGGCATCTGCTGTTCGATCAAGAACCAGGCTCATTCACGAGGCCGATTTCACGCGGCTCTGGAACGAGCAGACTTCAGACGTTGGTGGTGAGTCGGTGGCGTGCGGGCTGAGAAGGGGGCATTCCGTCCCGCTAGCATCGGGGCGATTCCTCGTCACACTCGGCTGGGAAGCAAACGTCAGTGGAGAGAGAGGGATTCGCAGGCACGAGTCCATGGGGAGCCTTGATCCTGCGTAATTGGCCGGCGCGGTAACCATCCGGGGGCACTTATCGGCGTCACGGGCTCACAGCCAGGTGGCATCGGATGCAACAAGGCCAGCGGAATCCGACCTCGCGGCAGAAGTGGGATGGGATTCTTGACGGTTTCATCGGTCACACCCTGTTCCGATCTGTCCCCATGGCCGCGCGATTGGTTAGCTAGCCCGTCGGCATCTCACAAGCCATCGCCGGGCGAGGCGGAGAAGGGGGGAGGTTGCCGCAGACTAGCCGTTGCCCTTGTGGTGGTTGGGGTAGTCTGGTGCGTCTAGGATTCGTGCGACGATCCCCCATGAGCTTACAATTGCGGCGGCTTCTGGTGGACGAATTGAATTGCGCAGTCGCAGGTTCATCGCCGTTGGCTTGGCTTGGCTTCCGGTCCTCGAGTCGTGTCCCGGCATCGGGGGCCGCCCTTGGGCGTATTGTTGGAAACTTGACAATGACATTTCATGGCATGCGACGACAAACTTGTTCGGAAGAATGGTGTTTTGCGGGCACAAATGTCTAGTCCCCCGTGACTTGAATCAGATTCTTGACGCCCCTGCCCTGCCGCGTCTCTTCCCACGCCTCGGCAGCCTTGTGGAACGGAAAGACGCTGCTGATGAACGACTTGACGGAGAACTTCTGTGCCTCCAGCAAGCGGATGGCAAGATCAAAGTCGCCGGGCCCGTACCGGAACGAGCTCTGGAAATTGACTTCCTTTTCGCACATCAGCGTGAGCGGCAGCACTTGTTCCGACTTGCCAATGCCTATCTGCACAAAGGTGCCGCCTGCTGCCAGAGCGTGAAGTCCTGTTTGAATAGCTGGTTCGGAGCCTGTGCATTCAAAGACAATGTCCACGCCGTCCCTCTGCCCCGTCCGCTTCTTGAACCTTGCCGCGTTCTCCCCGGGCGTGAGCGCCGCGTCAGGGACAAACGTCCAACACTCTATAAAGGTCTTGGCAAAGTCAAGCTTGGCTTGATTAATGTCCGAGATGAAGATTGGTCCCGCTCCAAACGCGAGAGCAGTTGCCGCCGTGAGAAGACCAACGGTTCCCGATCCCTGCACGAGAATGCTGCGTCCGGGTTCCAGGGGCGAGAGACGGGCTCCATGCACCGCCACGCTCAAGGGCTCAACCAGGACCGCTTCTTGAAGGGTCAGAAGGCTGGGGATCTTGAAGACGTACTGCTCCGCCACCCGGTAGAGACACGAGAGCGTCCCGTCCTGGGGAGGGTCGGCGGCAAACTTCATGTGCGGACACAGGTTGTATCGACCGCCGAGACACAACTTGCACTTGTGACATGGGAATCCGGGTTCCACGACGACGCGGTCGCCAGGTCGGACCCGGGTGACTGACGGGCCTACGGCATGGACGACCCCGGACGCCTCGTGGCCCATGACGAGCGGCTCGTCTTCAGACACGGTCCGTATCATGCCCCCGTGCGTCCAGAAGCGCACCTGGGTTTGCCCCGTCAGCACGTCCCGCGGGTGTCGGCTGTTGTAAGTCGTGGCGATGAGGCTCACTTACATCGGTTCCGCAGACGCCCACGTAGGCAATTCGAACCAAGACATGGTGCGCGTCGGCAATGACGGGCAGCGGGCGCTGCTCAAAGCGAACCTTGCCGGGCCCGTACAGGACGCACGACAGGTTCTGCTGCATCGGCATCAGCATCGGCGAGCCAACGAGCACGGGACAGGGTTCTCCGGATATACATACAGGGTGTGCCATGTTTTCGGTTCCGGAGCTGGAGGCGAGACGGGAGACTCCAAGTCTAGCTCGGCTCGTAGCGCCGCGTCCAAAGCACAGCAAGGGGGAGCGTCAACGGCTGAGTTTTAAACACACGGCGGCGGCGGCGGCGGCAGATGCAACGCCAAAGTCGGACAGCAAGTGGGATCGCAACCAACGCACGCGTTACGTTGGCCATTGCGCGTCCCGGGTCCGTCGTCTCCTTGCAAAGTCGGAACCTGACCAATCCTCCATCCGAAAGCAGTAACAAGCCCTGGCCCCCTGATCCGACGAGATGGACGATGGACGGATGCAACGCGGGGAGGCCAGTAGGGCGTCATGCCCAGTCTGGACAGGACAAGTCAACTCTCCTGGCTTGGCTCGGTCCGGGGCCGTCAGGGGGGGAGCGAGAGCAGATCGGCCGCGGTTCATAAAACCTACGAGCCCCGGCTTCTTCGTGGCTGGGGATGCGACTGCGTCCCGTCTGGCGCCGTCTATCACGCCGTCCTGTTGGCTCATCCGCCGGTGGCAATACTTGCACCATGAAGAAAGACGTACAACGCCACGATCAGGTTTGTCGAGCCGCTCCGTTATCCGCTGATGTGGCTGCAATTCCTGACCTTGGTCCAGGAGGAACTCCAGCAACGGGCCCGGGATGTGCTGCACATCGAGATTCTCCCCGGCACGGAGATTATGACGGACGCGCCGAGGAGGGACGGCGACGAGGACCTGTCTGCCAGCCATGCCGTCTTGGTCCCTCAGCCATCCGATTCCGCCCACGACCCTCTCAGTTGGTCTCCTTTCTGGAAAGCCTCGGCCATCGTTGCGTCCTCGTCCGTGACCTTTACGCAGGGCTTTGCTTCCCTGGCGCTTGCACCCATGTTTCCGTTCCTCATGGACGACTTCAACCGATCGTTGGCGGATGTGATCAAGTTCACCGGCGTCATCATCTTGATCCTGGGGTTCAGCAACTTTGTCTGGCAAGTCGCGCGCTCAGCCCACTCGACGGGGTTTCGGCGTCGTTCGTGTCAACTAACTAATATAATTGTCGTGTCTCCAGGGTTCCCTTGGCAACGTCCAAGGGCCGGAGAGTCGTCCTGATCGCGTCCCAGGTTCTCTGCTTGGCCTCGTACATTTGGCGAGCAAAGGCGACGAGCTACACTTCGTTCATGGGCTCGATAATGTAAACTGCCGGCCCAGCCGTCCGTCCACATGACGTTCCCTCTCACCTGCTGACCTGACCGGCTTTAGCCTCAACGGTGTCGGTGCTGGCCCGGCCGAGACCCTTCAGCCGACTGTCATTGCAGACTTGTTCTTCCTCGACGACCGTGGCAAGTGGAATACGCTCTACTGGGTCATATACATGGGCTCACTCATGGTGAGGCACGGCAGCTTTGCCATCCACGCTCAGGACGACTGACTGACTGCTTACGCCGCGCCATCAGATTGCACCCGTCATCTCCGGCACCATGGCCGAACACAGCGGCTGGCCCAGTTTCTTCTGGCTGTGTGCCGGACTCACGAGCCTGTCGCTCCTCATCGTCCTGTTCGGCTTCCCCGAGACCATCTGGCACAGAGCCAGGGACGATGGCAGAGGCAGTGGAAATGGCGACTGGGCCGCCAAGTCCTCCGACCCGGCACTCCAAGACGTCGTTCACGACGCCCGCGAGCCCGGCCGGCCGCAAGAGTCCTGGATCGGAAGGGGCAGGCCGAATCGCGAGCAGTGGCAAATCTTCCAAACGACACCCTTGACCTGGAGGCTGGTCTGGCACGAGGTCTGGATGCCCTGGCGCATCTTCCTGTTTCCCATTGTCCTGTTCGCCTCGTTCGCCGTCAGCTGGAGCTGCAGCGGCCTGCTCATCATCAACCTGACCCAGTCGCAAGTGTTTTCGGCTCCTCCGTACAACTGGTCTGCGCAGTCGGTGGGATTCACGAGCCTGCCTCTCTTTGTCGGCGCCATCATCGGCCTCGTCACCGCAGGGCCCTTCAGCGACTGGGTTTGTGCCCGGGCGACTGCTCGCAATGGCGGCGTTCGCGAACCCGAGATGCGTCTACCGGCAATGATACCGTACATCGTACTCATGATGCTCGGCCACGTCGTCCCCGCCATAGGCTACCAGCAGAAGTGGCCCTGGCAGGCAATCGTCATCGTCGGATATACCTGCACTGGTATTCAGGTCGCGGGCCTTCCCAGCATCGCGAGCACATACGCCGTCGACAGCTACAAGCCCGTGGCCGGGGCGCTCTTCGTAGCAATCACCGTCAACAAGAACGTCTGGGGATACGGCATGGCCGAGTTTGTGACTGCGTGGAGCGAAGAGGCAGGGTATGTGCGGCATCTGAACCACGAACCCGACGTGTGAGGCGTGTGCCGGCTAACTGCGTCGTTGCCCCTGCAGATTTATCCCAGTCTTCATGACAAACATGGCCTTGACCTTGTTATTTTGTGCCCTGGCAGCCGTGTTCTACTTTTACGGCAAGCATTTCAGGAGATGGAGCAGCAACAGCAGTGTTCACAGAGACTGAGCCCATGGCAACGCCCATTATATTGCTACGTGCTTGGAGAGACTCCAACCATACGCATCTAGACCTCCGGTACACCGCTTTCTCCCCCCATGCAAGGGCGCCTCTGTTCCCAGAGGCTCATGCTTCCGATTCCGCGCGAGCTCTTCACGAGGATCTGCCTCGTCGGACGAACAGAGAGGCGACCGGACAGGTGGTCTGATGCCTCGGAGCGGGTGTGGTTTGGTTCTGGTCCTTGTTTGCTGCTCCGACAGGAGGCTATTTTCTCCACATGACATTTATGACTGATTGAGCTCCGCGACTTTTCGCGGTCCATGAGAAGTATTTTCGCTTGTATTTTTGCCGCAATCAACATGACGCCGTCGACATGGCTACTAGGCTGCCTTGGCCTGGTCACTAGAACGGCAACGTGTACAGACGTGATAAACTATAGCTTAGAAGTAGGGAAAGGGCCAGGGTCAGGTTATGCATGCCTTCATCAGGGCTACAGGTCCGGCTGGTTGGCCCCGAGACGTGAGGCAACTAGACTAGATTAACAAGATTAGCATTAGAGCTAGAACACAAGGCTGCTATTAGCTAAAGCGCGTCGAAAGTAATGGACATGGAGCTTCCAAACCAGACATTGGATTCAGCATAGCAGGGTAGCCTACCCACGAATCTGTGCAATTAAAGTGAAAGAGCCTTGTCTTGTGGGCTCTGTAATGCTAGTTAGTAAGCATTATATTGTATTAATACTTGTTCTCTCTAGGTTTTTATAATTAAGTCTACTCTATAATAATGCTTTTTATTTCCTTAAATTATATAACTTATTCTACTTTTCCCTCTAATAATTTAGAGAGAAGAGAAACTAGTATTAACTTTAATACTAATTTTTCTTAACTATTACTACTTTTATTATTATTATTACTACTATTACTATTATTAACTTCTACTAGCTTTAAATTCTAATTAGCTATATCTTAATAATTAAGTCTAAGTAGCTTTAGTTTTTTTTATTAGAAAATAAATTACTTTAAGTTATTAATATAGACTTTTTATATTATTTCTTTTTCTATAGATTTAACTTTATATAATACTAATAATACTATCTTAATAACTTTTAAAAGGTTTTCTTAAGTTCTTTAGAATTTCTCTTTAAGCTTATTTTCTTTATTTAGCTTTTTTTAAATAATATCTTCTATATAAAATATTTAAGAAGCTTTTTATAGAATTTTATTATTTATAGCTTTTATTTTTTAAGTATAAACTTATTCTCTTCTTTTCTTCTAAGAATTAATTTATATTAAATTTATTTTTTATTTTAACTTCTTAATATACTTTATTTAGTTCTTAATAACTTTATCTTTTATATTTTTATATTATAAGTATAGTTTAAATCTTAATATTACTATTATTAAGCTAGTTTTAATAGTTAATATATATTTATTATTAAGGTTTACTACTACTATTAGAAGTATTTAATTCTATATATTTAATAAGTCTTTATTTCTTTTTAGTACTTATTTTATTAGTTAGTTTTTAATAAGTTATATATTATATTCTGCTAATTCTATAGTTAATAAGTAGGAAATTAAGCTAAATATAATTCTTATTTTATGCTTTTATATTATTACTTTAAAGTTTAAGTTCTTAAAATAAAATTTATTATTATAATAAATCTTCCTAGAACACAGCCGGCGAAGCCGGCGACACTTATGCACGCGCAGGAGGCGGGCGGATTCTGGCCGGCATAGAGCCGGAGCCGCCCTGGGGAGCGAAAACAGAAGCAGGCAGGGTTTTTCTTCCCATTAAAGGGTTTTCTAGGCCTAATATAAGAAGAAGATGTACTAGTTATATAGCTTTATAGCTATCTAGAGTATTTAATATATAATAAATCTTCTTTAGCTATTTTATAATTAAACTTTAATATTTATTTTAAGTTTTTATAACTATATTTCTAGTTGCTTTATAATAAAATTAAGCTATAATAAACTAAGTTATATAGTTAATAATTACTAGTATATAAGTATTTTTATTTTAAGCTACTAAAGTAATTAGTTCTAAATAATTTATAGCTACTAAAGCTTATAGTTCTAAGATAGTAATTATTTTTAAATTTACTCTTAGTAGATATCTCTCTATTTATTAATATACTAAATATAATAAATAATATACTTTTATATTTTTTATTTAGTTTAGCTAGAAGAATTTACTTTATAGTTTCTATATAGTAATTTCTAGTTTAAAATAGCTAGATATATTATAAACTTTCTATATTCTTAATAGTATATTCTTTATTAAGATATACTTTACTAGAGATTTATTTTATTCTAAAAAATAAAGTATTTAGCAGAAAACTCTATATTTTAGTAAATAGTATTTAATAAGTTTTCTTTCTTCTACTAGTATAGCTTAGTATTTATAAATTATAGCTATAAGTACTTCTCTATACTATTAGAATTTAAACTATTTCTTAAGCTTATCTACTAGTTTCTATATTATATCTTTATTTTATAAGCTTCTCTCTAGTAGTATTTATTTATTTATTAAATTTCCTTCTAGTAGTCTTTACTCTTTATTATCTCTAATAGTTATTAAAACTTATACTAAATATTTTATTATAGCTAAAGTAACTTTTACTTTTATTCTTTTTTTTACTAAGAGAAGTTTTAATTTTAAGTTATTTAGTATTCTTAATATTTTATCTATAATTTTTATAATTTTAGTAGTATTAATATAATAAATATACTTTATATTTAACTTCTATAAAATATTAATTTATTATACTATTTTTCTATATACTTCTATAAAGTTAGCTATAAAGTTAATAATACCTTTATAGTTAGTATATACTTTTAAGGCAAATAGTAATTTCTCTACTAGCTATTATATCTCTTTTAATTCTACTATAATTATATATATTTTCTTCTTAAGTATAGTATATTTCTTCTCTATATTAGTTAACTTATAAAATATTTATATAATAATTCTAACTCTTAAAAAGTTGGAATTTATAATTAATATACTAAGTTCTATATCTTTTAATTAAAATAAAACTTCTTTTATTTTTATATTAAAAGTAAAAAAAAAAAAAAAAAAAAAAATTTTTCAGCCTTTAGTCTATAGTACTACTGCGCTAGCTTAAGACTGCTTTTAAAATATAAACTAATAAAAGAACCTTCTTTCTTACACTTAATTGCCTCTACTTATAATACTATATAGCAGCTGCTCTAGAGGTAAGGCAGTAGAGAAAATACTAATAGTTATTAATAGTAGTAATAAGAGGCTTGCCTAGAGGTACTACTACTTAAATATAAAAAGAGAATAATTTAATAAATATGAACTAAGTAGTAATAAACTGCTTATAACTTAAAACTAACTTAATAATACTTAAAAAGAAGTATATAATAAACTTATAGGCTATATTTTAGAGAGCAATACTCTTAAGAGAGCCTAGGCAATACTCTAGGTATATACTAAGGTAGAGGTGCGCTAAGCTATAACTAAAGCTGTAATTAACTATAATAATACCTTTATAACTTAAAGATAGTTGCAGAAAGCTATAATAATAGCAGTAAAGAAAGCTATAAAGATAGCTAAAAGACTATAATTATAAGTAAGCATTATAGCTAGAGTATATTTAGCTTAAGCCTTAGCCCCCTCTCTTCTCTTTATCTTAATATAATAATATTATAAAGTGCTTATAAAGAGAGATACTATTATAAAAGTATATAAAGAGTAGGCTGCTGCTAATATAGTATTAGCTATAAACTAAGCTATTAGCTATAATACTACTATTACTATAAAGCGCCTGCTAAGTAGTAATACTATAGTAACTTTCTAAGGTAAAGCAAAATAATATTAAGAAGAAACTAGATAAGTCTAAGCTGCCTTTAGCTTAAATATAACTATATACTAATAAGTACTTAGTATAATTATTAAAGAGTTCTCTACTAAGTATATAAAGGTTAAAGGCCTTACTAAAGAGATAGTAAAGACAAATAAAGTAAGAGTTATATAAGCTACTTTATAGCAGCCTTAAAGTAATTCTACTATAAGAGCGCTCTTAATACTAAGTATAGAAGAACTAGAAAACGCTAATAAGTTATACTAAGAAGGCTTAGTCTTTTAAGCTAAGATATTTAACACTAAACTATATAATAAAGCTCTCTACCTAAGGTAGTACTTTAACTACTATAGTATTAAGCATATAGCTAAATATTATAAAGTAATACTAAGGTGCAGCTAGTATATAGCTAAGTGCTATATAGATAGAGAATAATTATATTTTATAATTATAAGTAATATTAGAGAAAAGTATGCTCTATATAATAAAGCATACTTAGCTTAGAATTAAGCCTGCTTTATTTTAAAGAAGCACTAGAATAAAGCTAAAGAGAGATACCTAGAATACTTAATAAAGTTTGCAGACTACTAATACCTAGACTACTACTACTAGTAGATTATAATTAACTCTAACTTAAAGTTAGGCAGAGAATAGCCTGCCTAGAAGAGAGGCTATTTACTAGAGAGTAGAAATAGCTAACTTTAAGTTAGGCAGAGAATAGCCTGCCTGGAAGAGAGGCTATCTACTAGAGAGTAGAAATAAAACTAAGAATATAATACCTTTAGCTTAACAACTAGCTAGTATTCTACTATATATAAGCTGCCTTCTATTGCTAAGAGATACTATAATGCTAAGAATTAATATTATTCTACTCTTCTAGAATACTTAACATACTATACTAAAATATTAATAGAAAGAATAACTTTATCTATATAGTGCTTTACTACTAGCTTAATATTAACTTAATAGTAATATAGAAATAAAAATAGATAAAATAGAGCTAGCCTTCTAGCC